AAAAATTCAACAAAGCAGGTATTAACAAAAACGCTTTGTGTCATTTGTGGAATTTTGATGAAATCATCTTCTCTAGCGATCAAAGAAAGCCACACATAGTTTGCAGACGTGGTGTCAATCGACCATTCGAAATTAGTTGGCATTAATGGAAAAACCAATTATACAGTTGGAAGTTGCATCAATGCTGCTGATTATCTTCTTGCACCATACAATATTTTCAGATCAAAAAAGTTTGAAAAAAATTGGATCCTCAAGTGGTCCAGTTGATGCTGTATTTGCAACATCTCCTTCCGGATGGATGAAAGATGAGCAATTCGTGCAGTGGCTCACTGGTGTGTACATTCCCGCCATTAAAAATAGTTCGGGTAACTAGTTTTATCAAGTTTTTAAAAATTAGTTTAATAAATTATTTAATTAAATAAATCGAGTTTTGGTTATCCAATTATAGGTAGTCATAATTTAGTCGTAGATAGATACTTGACAAATGTTACCAATCGGGTTGTACTTATTGGTATCGACAAATTAACAAGATAGTGTATCTTGTTAATTTGCTTGCCGAATATGAGATAAATGAGCTGGTCATTTGTCTTATATTCTGCATCCACTAGATTTTGGAGTTTGAATTTGACGCAATTTACTTCAAGAGATTTATGCAGAGACAAAGTTCAGTATTTTTTCAAAAGAATGTTTTAGTAAACTGCAAGCAAAACTTTTTAGCTCTGGATTTCAATATAATGATTTGTTTCCCTTAACATCAATATAATTGATCAATCAAATTGCAAATTGCGAATACGTTTGAAACACTTCCATCTCAACCTAAGCTTTTAATATCTCAGCTACCAGAATTTATGCTAGTGCCACCAGCACACGTTGTATACTATCAAATGCGAAGTTAACTCCACAGTCAACTCGTCTGAAACCGACATTCAATAAAAATCTGCTATTAAAAGCAAATTCAAAAGAAAGTTTAAAAACAATTGCAATCAAACCATTCATTTGACGCAGCTTTTCAACAAACGTCTAGCACGTTGACACAAGTTTGTGGTATAAAAAAACGAAAATATTTAAACGTGCTAAGATACCAAAGAGAGTCTCTCAATAAATATGAAATATTCAAATGATTGAAAGATGCTAACAGCAAAAAATCAGCAAAGCAAGCTAGGAAACAACGCAGACTTGATTTTGATTATGAGCAGCAAATAAATTAATTAACAACAGCGATTCCAACAACAACAACAACAACAGCAGCAAATCAAGTCAAGTATAAAAAGCGCCTTAATTTCTGAAAGAAGCTTTAGCAAGTCAAAATAGCGAATCATTTACTATTTTGATTAGTCAGTGAGTCATTATCATATAGTGAATCATTCATTGTGAAAGGTATCAGTGCGAAAATTTAAATTTTAAAATTTGGTTTTGTCAAATATGCATTCCAAAGCAATATATAAAGGTACCGAATTTTATTGCATCAAAAAGTGCAGCGCAGTACAAGAATGTTTCTTATTTTAAAGGGATTTTTTTTCCAAATATTATAATACTGAAAGTTTCCTAATATTTTCTTAAATTTCAGATTATTAAAAGATTAAAAAAGTGAACTAAATTGTTTCATACATCCATTACATCCGAATATGCCAAGCTCACTTTCTTCAGCAAACAAAGAAGCAGAAATACTAACAAAGGAGTCTCGATGTTCCATATTTTTACAAAAGTTATATTTAAATAAAGTTGTCAGTTTTTGCGCTTATCCATAATTGAATGATATTGCAACATAAAATGTTCAAATTTCCTCAATATATAATATTTTTATAATATAGATTTTCATTCGCAATTAAACATCATTTGCAATCGAATTTTATATTTTATAATCGATATTTATATTTGTATATCTGTAACTGCCAATCTGTGATTAGTTACTTGTGAATACTTTGCAGTTGTAAAACAAAGTTGTAAAATTTCTAAATTTTTAAATTTTAAAATTCATTTGCAATTGAAAGGAATTCATGGAATTCAGTTTGATTAAGCGTGCAAATTAAATACTCATTTAAGCTGTTGTTCTCCATTGTAGATAATCAAAACTTCATGCAATGTTTATGTGATGTTTTGTGTAAATAATGCCAACTTCAGTGGCGTAACTAGAGAGAGCACAACCCCGCAAACCGTATAGAGCTCAAACAGCCCCGCGTACAGCCCCGCGTAGATTTAAAAACCTTACTCATAATATTTACATTTTTCAGTTTTTTAATAGGAGTGAAACCCAACAACCCAGCCGGCATTTGGTCCTAAAAGACATCTTTTTAACGTGCAAAAGACGTCCTTTTTGGATCAAATGCCGGCTGGGAAAGATCCTCAAAAATTGATTCTTTTTTAACTATAAAGTTATGCTTTTTAGATATAATTAAAACTTTATCAGAAATATATTGAAAAAGTTCGGAAAAAGAAAAAATAAACCAAAGCTCTAAAATTAAGGGACAAAATATCTAACTATGAAGTCCATAAATCTAAACGAGGCGGCCATATTATAAGGTAACCTGAAATACAAGTCAAAAGATTTTAGATCAAATTTTAATTTATTTAAATTAGAGACTTTTTCTATTGCAGTCAGTGGCAAATAAAACTAACTTTTAAGTTTAAGTACCAATTCAAATATAAATGACGTTTTGATGAGTTAAGTTGAAATTATTTATATAAATATTTCAAGTAATAGATTTACTGAAATGGAAAAAATGTCAAATCTTATAAATATCATGCTACCTCAAAGTTTAATAAAATTGTCGGAAGATGATGTTATTGAATCAGCTAAATTATTACAACAGAATTACCCAGACAATTTAAAAAGAAGTTTTCTAACTCAATTAATTAATGCACTCATTTTTACTAAAAATTTCGCAGAAACAACCAAAATTAAAAGTTTAGCCAACATACTGGCCATCAACTATAGTTTTATGGTGATTTTTCAGATGTAAACATATCAACATTGCTATTGATGACAACATCTGTGACAGATGATAGAGCAGAAAGAATTTTCAGCAAAATAAAGGTTATCGAAAAATGCATAAGAAAAAGCATATCTTATGAACATCTAAAATATTGTGCAATTTGACTATAGAGAACGAAAAAGGACAAACATTAGAATTAATTGCGGAATTTGAGAATTAGAAAAAAAGCAAGAAAAATTGATATTTTAAGGTAGTTGAATAAATAAAAATTTTCTAGGATTTCTTCAACTTTTTTTCTGTTCTTGATCGCCATTTTTATTTCTATTCATTCTATATTTTATATTCTATAATTTATTCATTCTCTAAGAATTACTACGTCTAAAGATAAAAGCTGTTATAAATTTAAAAAATTTCATCAAAGTCTTAAGTGGAATTAGTTTCTGTCATTAAGTATGCTTCTTTCAAACTTTCAATGTTCTTTCTTTTTTTACAACTATTTTGAGCAGAGTTTCTGGGATCATTCTCTAATTTATAAAATAAATATTGTTTATATACTTAATCGTGTTTTATTAACTAGATATGAAAAGCAAATATCGCATTTTTATTTTTAAATGTAATAGAAAAAATTTTGTAAGGGGGAGGGTCTCTCTTTTTTTGCGGGGGGCCCTAAAGTAACTAAACTTGTGTCAACGTGCAAGACGTTTGTTGAAAAGCTGCGTCAAATGAATGGTTTGATTGCAATTGTTTCTAAACTTTCTTTTGAATTTGCTTTTAATAGCAGATTTTTAGTTAAAGTTACGTCGCTCGCTAACTTCGTGTAATGTTGTGGTATAATATTAAGAAATATTCCTTAAATAACTCTTAAATAAGTGTCTTATTTAAAAGTAACTTAGCTCTAAAAGTTTCTTAAGATTTTGGGGCTTCTAGTACTAGTTTTTTATAAATTGGTTTCTGATTTAAAAAAAAAACTAATATATAAGTGTTTTATTTTTTTAATATTCGGCTCTATGCGCGTATAAAAAAAACAAAAAAGTTCAGGAAGATACGGGCATCGAAACACAGACGTCTACGAAGTCAACGCCGCATCCAAATATGCTAAACGCGCGTATAGATATAAAAACAATCAATATACTTATTTATAAAATTTTTATTCTTTTTTTTTTATATAAATAATACACTTAATTAAAATTAACTAAATTAATTGACTTATTACAAAACTAATTATTAAATATTGTATTGTCATCAAGCAAGAGTATGTATGCAAAATTTGAAAAATATCTATCATCAGGAAGTGACTCAAAGATTGATTGCAAGATTTAATGCTCACAGACAAACAAATTAACAGACGGAGACGACGAGTTAATAAAAGCAAATTAGTACTATGAAATTTTTGTCTAATTGTGTCAATAGCTGATTTAAAAAAATGTTTTTACTTGAGTATTATTTCTAACGAATATGTCTTCATCGTTATGACAAGATTTCAGCATTATAATATTGGCAATGATTTTTGGGTATTTTGGCTCGCTCTGTCTCACTGTGGTTCGGCAAAATCGCAACTTATCTTAACAATTTAAAGTTTGTTTTCAATTTTTCTTTTTTTAATTCTATTTTGTTTTTATGAAGCTTAAACTATAACCTCGCTATTAATCGCTTACCATAGCTACAAAATTGTTTGTTTGTTAAGCAAGTTCACAAAATGGTTAGCTTATCATTTTGCGGAATATTGCTTAATATAATACGTCAAACAAATTATAAAGTATCGTATTCGCGACTAGCACTTATCTATTGTTATATTTTGCTTGTTGTTTTATTTTTTTATTATTTTTTTTTTTTGTGTGTAAATTTTGTTATAAAAAATAAACTATTAATAATTTATTAAAATATTTACTATTCAATATATTTGTTTTACTCAAAACGTTTCCTAAATAATATTTTAAAATAATTATATTTTATTTTTAATTGATTTTTTAATCATAATTTTAATTATAATTTTAATTATAATTAATTTAATTTAATGAATATAGTTTTACTATATTTAAAAAAATTCAATATTTTGAATAAAGTAGATATCTTTTTTTGTAGATATATTTATAGTAAATGAAAATAGTGGTGGATACTTTAAATTATCTACATATGAATTTATAGTAAACGAACTCAATGATGGATACTATAAATGAAACAGAAGCTAATTTAAATTACGACAGTTGTACTGATTATAATTCATCGCCACCTGTTGTTGATATACGTCAGCTTGCACGTCAAGGAATTCATGTATTGTTGAATGATGGAGGAGTATTAAATGCACAAATGTTGTTTCAAAAATACAAGTTATATTTTTTTTAGTTTTTTAAAAAAGATTTTTTCCAGTGAGCATGTGTAATTAATAATATATACAACATCAATAATTAATATTATAAAATTCTATAGTCTTTTGTTTAGAAAAGAAAATGTTCTTTTATCTGCTGGAGCAAGTTTAGTTGACTTTATTGTGAGTTAATTTTTGTGTTAAACATTTATTAAAGTATATCTATATGACAAAAAAATATATAAAAATTTTTTTAAGGACAAAAGTTCTTATAGAGAATTTTGAAGAAAGTTGTGACCATAACTTGTAGTTATCAACTTAAATTGTTCATAATTTCCATAAAAATAATTAAACCCTACATAAATTTGGTATCTATTAAAAGCTGTGAAAAAATACATATATTTTTGAAGTAACAAGTGTGAATAAATTATATCAGGGTGGGTGGAGGCAGCATAGGCACATAAAAAATTTTTTATATTTATCTTTAATTAGATATTCAATGAAAAAAATTAATTTTGATAAATTGATAATTGCTGAAAAAATCATTTTTATATAAATTGAAATAACTATGTTATAGTACTATAAATAGTATATAATGTGCTGGCAACTATGTTTCCAGCAATACTTTTTTTTTCAAAAAAAAGTCTATAGATGGTGTCATAGGCAATTTAGTTTTTCCCTATAAAGATTTTATCTTGTAGTCTAATTATTTATTTATAAAATTCTTTATAAAAGCGCTTCCGCCATTCTGGAAGTCTCTCCACTGTTTTTCTAATTCTAAATTCTCTAAAGTTTGTTTGCTACCAATTTTAGCAGTTTGTAAAGTTCTAAAGGTTAATTTAAAACTATGACTGCTATAAAAATTCAGAAAACACCTGCAATGACTGGAGTATTTAATTTTGGTTATACCAAGTTAGAGAAAAAAAAAAAACTAGATTGGCACAATTTAATGATTTTGTCAAGCTTTGATTACCAATAAAGTTGTGAATACAAGCGTAATCATTACCTCTAGTAGACTAGTAGTCTAGTATGACATCCCATAACAGTTCTTATAGATCTTATTAGCTTTTACGACAATACGTCGCAGTGTTGCACTACATCTGACCTCCTAACCCAAAGCTTTTAAATAAAGCTTTAAGCTTAGCATTAAGGATAATGGATTATTACTTTAAAGAATAAAAAATGAAAATGACATTGCATTTATTATTTGTAGCTGCTTTGGCAGAGTGCTCTACTACAACGTAAAGCCACACCCCCTCCAAGCAACAAAGAATTTTAGCAGTCGTTGTGAAACATCTAGTAGTTAGTGCATCACTCCCCGTGTCAATTGTAGAAAGTGAACATATTAGGCAATACAATAATGTTGTTGATCCTCAGTGCTCAACTAATAATTGTTATGCCGTAAAAACCTATTTAGAGAAAACGTATATGGGTGCAAAAGAAAAATTAACTAAAATTTATGTCAAGCTGCATTTCTCTAAAACTTGATATTTGGTCAGATAGAAAAATGAGGGGTTACCTTGGTATAACAGCGCATTATATGCATAACTATCACAGTCACACACAACTGTTGGCATCCCATAGGCTTTTAGGTGCTCATGCTGGGGGTATCATAGCAGAATATTTTAAATCCATTTGTAGAACATATAAAATATTCAACAAAGTTGTATATGTTGTGACAAACGATGCCTCAAACATGTGCAAAACATTTACTACAAATTTTGCAGAAGAACCCGAAGGTAGTGGTGTTACACCTGTAAAGGAACTTCACGATGACATAGAAAATCAAGACCTGAAAAAGATATCATGGCACTGGATGAAATAATCTAAAATACTAATCAGCTTGACCCATGGCGAGAGGTTACCAGACTAAATTAAAAGCATTGTCACTTTGGATGAAAAGAAATTGAAAAACCTACTTGGTGATATAAGTTACCGCAATCTACTACTAGATAAAAGGGAATATGTGTAACTTATTGAGTTTGTTGATTTATTACGACCATTTCTTGAAGCACAGATATGACTCAAGGTAAAAAAAATGTGACAGTTTCATCAGTAGTTCCCTCTTTTGTTGGGCTGCTTAGTCACTTAGAACAGTTTGATACAACTTATCTGTCTGATATGAAACAGGCATTGAAAAATAGTCTTTAAAAAAGATTATTTGGTATATTTGAAAATGTTGACCTTATTCCATCAATAAATGAGAAACTGCCATTTGATGACTTGATATATGTTATCACCACAGTTTTAAATCCCAATTTTAGCTTCTTTTGGACTGAGAAGCTATGTCATGTTAATCCAAGCCAAACAGACAACTTAAAGACAAATATTCTTTTAAATGATGTTAGTTAGGCAACAAGCAGTTTAGCCATACCCATGCAACCATGGACAGAAAAGTCTTACCTAAAAACGTTCCCCCTAAGAAGCCAAGGATTAATTTATCTTTGTACCCATATTGCAGAAATATATCTGTCAGTCAAACAGGAACTACATCACAACCACCTGTTAAAAGTTTTGATCAGGGTGGCCAGCAACCTGGAAAACCTGAAAAAGTCAGGGTAGTTCTTAACTATGCTAAAAAGTCATGGAAAAGTCAGAGAATTTTGATGGATTTTGTAACAAAAAATTTTTGCTAATTAGAAACTTTAAATCTTATATTTTATATGTTTAATTATTTGTTGATTGCAACTGCTGTTAATAATTATTTGTTGGTTGCAACTGCTGTTAATAAATTTAGAAAGTTTTTAATTGATATTGATTTTTTTTATGGTGGATTTTAATGCATTACAAAAAAAAATTGCTATTTAATAATGGCAGCTACTCTGGAAAAAGCATAATTCTGATGCAATACAAACCATTGAATACACCTAGTTTAGCTATTTTTTGATAAATAATCTTCATAATTTTATGATGAAAGTTTTTTAAACTAAAATAAAAATAATAAGTATTAATATTAAAAAAGAAAAACAAAGTGAATAACTATTTGTATAAGTTTAATATTCTTCTTTTTCACTATTCAGTTCTTACTTTTCAATATAATATTTTCAATATTATGTCAAGATCAAACAGTAAAGCAATTTGTTACTTTTTTCATTTCAAAAAGTCTAAATGACTAAATGTATGAAAATGAACAAAATTTTCATTTTTTCATATTATAAAATTATTTCAAATTTATCACTCTAGTATTTTTTGTTATAGCTCTATAAATATACATAGTGTTTTTGTTTTAAGTTTATATTTACACTTTTAATTCCTAAATATTAAGAAAAGTTAGAAGTTTGTGTTGTACTTATATAATTGTGCTTACATCTTTTGTTTAGAAAATAAATATATAAAAATAAAATCAAAACAATTTTACTTTAGCAAAATTTGGTTAAATAAAATACTTTACACTGATTGGTTTTGGCTAAAAGAAGTTTTTAATTGTTCTGCACAGGCAATGTGTTCTATTTGTTGAAAAACATTTGATTTAAGTAAAATGGACATTCAGGCAGTAAAAATTCATGAAAGAAGTAACCAGTGTCCAATTCATTCTTTATTTAGTAAACATTAAACACAAGAAATAGTTTCAAACAGTATTGTAAAAGATACAAATCAACTAAGAACAATATTATTCCAAAATGTTCATGTGCATTGAGTGATGTAAGTCCTGCAAGCGTTCAGAAAACAGATGATAGCTATGCTATACAAGATAAAGTCACAAAACCAGAAACTAACTGGGCTTTACGAGTTGTATCCCTCCATGAATTTTATAGGTCTTATACTAATATAGGAAGAATATTTCAACAAATGTTTCCTGACAGTGAAATAGCTAAGCAGTTCAAGCTTGGAAAGCTAAATATTGCCTATAACATAACTCATGGTATTGCCACCTAGTTCCATAATGTTCTTCTGAAAAATATTTTGAAATATAATTTTTTGTAGTAGAACCCTTTCTTAGTCCTTTTCTGCAGTCCTTTAGTTGCTTTCCTTTATGATGAGTTATATTTGATGTCATGCCTCATGGAATGATCAAAAAAGAACTTTTCACAAATGCTGATACATTGCAAAGGTTGGGGAAGATAGATCTGCATAATGAAAAGTCCAGTTGGAGATGGTAATTGGTGCTAGAGCTGTTTTTGAGTAACAGAATTGTAAAATTGATAGATATATACAACAGGCATTATAGGTACAATTAAAGCACTAAGTATTCATGATAATAAGATAATAATTTCTACAACACTAACTACTCTGAAATCAAACTATCTTCAGGCCTATAAACTATTTATGTTTTTAAATTCTCGTTCTGTAAATCTTTGCATAGGTTTTAATAAATGCTTTATTTTATTCAAAATACAAACTTAAGTTATTAAATTAAAATATAAAATCAATAATAAAAAATATATTTAGCTGTAACAATATTTTATTAATGAAATATGGATTAAAATATTTTACTACATAATTTTAGTACTTTTTTGACTGCAAATGTTTAACAATACATGTTTTTAGTTATAAACTGTTTTAACTTTTTTTTTGACTTCAAATGTTAAAGAATGCATCTTTAGTTATAAACAATGTTTTAATTTTTTTTTGATTTCAAATTTTAAGACATGTCTTTAGTTATTGTTAGTAAACTGTATTTAATGCTTGCATTTTTACAAAAAATAATATTGAAAAATCTGATTAAATAATGAATAGATTGTTTGTCCAATGTTTTATATGTTATTTGTTATATTTAAATGTTGTCTTTTTTTTATATAATTTTTACTTTTTTATTAGTTCTATCATTTTTTGCATTTTTTTTTTTAATTTTATTTTTTAGGCTGCAGCAATGTCTTTTGAAGATGAGAAAATGGAAATTGCTCAGCAAAGTTTAAAATTTACTATAAAGATGTGTGATATTGACAGTTGTTTTGAAGGGATGATTCACAAGCGACCCTCTCATAATTGGAGCACAGCAGAGCGGATTGAGAGAATGATTATCTGGGCTGACTGTGAACTTTTTTTAGCATTTATTATGTTTTTAAAACAAGGTAACTATGATATTTTAAAACAACATTAAACTAAGGAAAACCTGATTTTACCTAAAAAGAGAGTCTCAAAATTTGAATAGTTACAAATATGCCAGGCTTATAATATATATTATAAATAAATTAATAAATTTACTTTTATAAATATTTTATTTAAACCTTTTTTTAAATTTGTTTTTGATTTGATTATAACCAATGTCTAAAAGTTAATATATATATATATATATATATATATATATATATATATATATATATATATATATATATATATATATATATATATATATATATATATATATATACTTTTTGCACAAATTTTTCCAAAATTGTTGAAAAAAAGTTAATTTTTCATTATGATTCATTTAAAAAACCTCAGTCGTTTTTTATCTTTCATTAATTTTTTTATTATATTTACATAATGTAAACCAGTATATGGCATAATTTTTCAAGAATCTAGCAAATTCAAAATAAAACGATGTCAACGAGCATGTCCAATGCGATCAGCTGATGCTTTTGTAACAATGGCAACATGTCTTTCAATTATTTTTCTCTGTTTTAAGATATTGATTAAAAAATTAAAAACTAACATCAAATAATAAAAGTTTGAGCTTTAAGATCCACTTTTTTTGCTTACAAAATTGTAAGCAAAAAAAGTTTGTTTTTTGTTTTTGCTTAATATTCGCTTTTTTTTTAGTGCTTGAGATTATATTATAACTACAAAAATGGTTAACAACTTTTCGGCTTAATATTTTAAGTTTTGGTTTTATAAATACGAATATAAATATTACATAATTATAATGCAAAGTTATCAAAGGATTACTAAAAAAAAAAAAATTTATTTTAGTAATCCATTTTCATAACTTTATATTATAATTATAAACTAAATCTATTATAACTACATAAAAAATGTATTTTTAAAAATTTATTTTCAAAAATACTATTGAAAAGTAAAACCTTTATAGTTCTTTGTTTATAAATTTTTTTCTCTGCTCTCGCACTTATTTACTTCGGCCAAGCCTATATATATATATATATATATATATATATATATATATATATATATATATATATATATATATATATATATATATATATATATATATATATATATATATATATATATATATATATATATATATATATATATATATATATATACATATATTTATATATATATATATATATATATATATATATACATACATATACATATACATATATATATATATATATATATATATATATATATATATATATATATATATATATATCTCACAAAATTGTTTTACTCAATGTAGGGTTTCTTTACATGTTAGATAAAAATTTTAAAATCTTTTTTTTTTATTATTGTTGTTGTTGTTGTTACTTTTATTATTTTTTTTTAGTGTGCTATTTTATTTTTAGGTGTTGTTGACTTTATAAAAGCTGGCTTCCACATGCGAAAAGCATGGAAAATGTACGAAAAATGTTACCTTGAGTTATATGGCTGTGAAATGAATTCAAAAACATCTAAAGTAAGTCCTAAATAAAATTAATATATATGTTTAAAAAAGTATCAGCCTGATTATTTGCCTGTAATAACCTGAGTATTTGCTTGTGATAACCTGAGTATTTGCTGTGTTTACCTGATTAATCTTTAATAACCTAAGCATTAGCAGATAGTGAAATTTGAAAGATTTTAGGTTGGCACAAGAGTGTCTAACTTAACAGACATTAAAAAATAATAAGGTCCGGTTATCCTAGTATGCAATAATTGAGCATTATTATTTTTGTTATAACTTTGCTCAATCCTAAGACAGTAAGATCTTATTTGTAAGATAATATAAAGTATGTTCTAAAAAGTCTTTTTTTATGAATAATGTTCAGGTATGAAGGTTTCTATATGTTAGCACAGCCTTAGTTTTTGTTAAGATAATTTTTTAAGAGCTTTACACCACATTAAAATTAACTTCTCTAAAATTGCTAAAAAGCTACAGGATTTAAAACCCCAATTTTTAATAACTGTTTTGTTAGGTATGTTATAACCAGGGTTGCTTGGTTTAATCCAAATGGTTTAAACCATTTATAAAAATTTTTATTCAAATTAATCCATGTTAAATTTTTTTTTAACAATTTTAAATTTACAGAAGGAAAGTAAATTACAATTATGTTTACAAATAGGACTATATAGTTTATGTAAATACTTGATGTGAATGCACTTATTTTAAAACATAAAGATGCTTCTAAAAATTAATTTCTTAAATATATGAAATTAGTAATATGTTATTTGTTTGAAATTCGCCATTTGGTTAGCTTGCAGAGTTTCTGAAGCAAAGCGTTGTGGTTCAAATCCTTTTTTTTTTTTTTTTTTTTTTTCAAATCTTTTTTGATTTTTCTAAAATACAAAATAAAATACTTTTGAAGTTTTATAGATATTCTATACATAACATATATAATCTTTTTATATAATTGGTATAAAGAGAATTTTTAAAAAATCTTAAAGCGTAGTAGAAATATGTGCATATGTCATGATAGAGATACTTATGTTATAAATGTGCATATGTCATGAAGAGATACTTATGTTATAAATGTGTGCATATGTCATGATAGAGATACTTATGCTATAAATGTGTGCATATGTCATGATAGAGATACTTATGTTATAAATGTGCATATGTCATGAAAATGTTTGAAGTACACTATTATTGCATGTTTGAAAAAAATTATGGTCTAAAATTTGGTAAAGAAAAAATTTAATAAGGCAGTCATGTTACTCCAGAATGTGCTGGTGTGGAGGGTAAAAAAGTAGCTAAAAAATACTTCCAAATTTTATTTTTAAGTCTTTTTTGCTATATATATTTTTTGGCTATAAATATATAGGACAGATTAAAAAAATGGAAAATATATTTTGATAAGAACTAATTGAAAAACAATGTTTTATAAACCCTTATACCAATTAAAATTAATCAACACTATTCAAGCAGAGGTATGGTAACAAGCGGGTTCTCTAAATAAGTGCAGCTTTATTGCATAGCATCCAATATATCAGAATATAACAGTAAACAAATAGGCAAATGTAAAAAATCAACTTATAATGTTTTATACAAGATTATGTGTGATATAAAAAAATCTTTCTAATAATTTCAAGTCTTTTTTGCTTAAATTATTTTGTTTTGAATTTTTGTATTTATGTTATTGAATTTAAAAAAAGTGGCAAGATTGAAAAAATACGAAACATATTGTCTCATCCAAGTAGAAAGTTTGAAACTTCAATTTCAAATTTGCCCTAAAAAGTCTTTTTCCCAATATATATGAAATTATTATATAAATCAAAGGTATTTTTCAAATCAATCAACAACTTAAAGCATACACCCTACAAAGTTTTCATAATTGATTTTTATGCAGAGCACTAAAACTATGCAATAAAATAATTTATTACAAGAAACCAATAAACTTATTCAAATAATTTAATTTTGTTAACCTTGATCAAGTACAACGCTAGAAACAAAAGCTTTTGTTAACCTACATCAAGTACAACGCTAGAAACAAAAGCTTTTGTTAACCTACATCAAGTACAAAGCTAGAAACAAAAGCTTTTTAAACTTTAAAGTATCTAACTGACATGATGAACTTTGAAATATCTAACAGACATAATAAACTTTAAAGTATCTAACAGACTTGATAAACTTACAAGTATTTAACAGACATGATAAACTTACAAGTATTTAACAGACATGATAAACTTGAACAGTCATTTAAGTATTTTTTCAGCAATATAATCAATAAGCATCAGAATGACTATCAAAATAGCGTCAAAATAATTAAAAAAAAAAAAAAAGACTAGACATTTAAATTTTGAAACATCTTTTATTTACAATAATTTGTTATATTATTTGTATCATATATCAAATACACTTCTATTTACCAGCCATGGTAAAAAACACATAGCTCATAAAATAATAGTTAAGAAATTAGAAATATATTGAAAATGTAAAAAAAATTGAAGTAAAAAGGAATAGATATAGAAATGGTTTGTGTGGAACTAATAAGTATAGAAATGGTTGGTTTAGTAAAGACTGGTATTTTACGGGTCCAAAAAGCTAGGGTATCTATAAGGAACTAGTATAGAAAAGGTCGATGTGGAATAGATTTACAAAGACCCATATTTTTACCAGCCCGGTAAGCTAATAGATAAAAGAACAAAATGTTGTCTTTACTTTTGCTACTGCAAAATCCCAATTATTAAATAATTATTAATTAAAATCTTAAGTATTTTCAAAGGTTTTTTTTTAAGTGAATACTAAAGTTACAAGATTTAATATTGTTTTTCTTAAACTTGTGAGGGTGAAGCTGAGTAGCAGTTTTGAAGTAGCAACAGCAGTGAAGTAGCAGTTTTGTGTTCCATGCTTTTGATTCTTTGACTAAAAATTTTAAGCAAAGATTTTGAATTTTAGAATTTTATTTTCCTGTTTTTTTAATTATTTTGCATAATTTCATTCATGTTTTTGCTTTTATGCTAGACTATAATATTCACATCTTTCTAAACTCTAGTTCATCGGATTTTATTGTTTGTCTGAAGCAAATGTACAAACAAAAAGTACATTTAAATTTTTTATTCAACATTAAAACATTTTCTCTAATTAAATGTAATACAAAAAGGTAAATTTAATATACATTAGGAGTCTTGTCCATAAGAATTAATTTGCATAAGGAGCTGTGCAGTTATATAATATGGTTATATAATTAAAATGAGTCTTTAAATTTGTTGATTTTATAGATGTTAAACATTATTCCTAAATATCAAAGTAATATAATTATATTAAAACACATATTAAGAGATAAATATTTAAAAAAATAGAATTGTAAAAACTTGAATATAAAAATGTACTATATGAAATAAAATAAAGTAGAAATGTATAGAAAATAAAGTTTAAATTCTTTTACAAAATTTAGAAAATTTTCAAAGAATATACTTTTTATGTTAGTATGCTTTTACACTCTGTTAACAACTTAATATAAAAATTTTTATACTTTTTGGTGAGTATTTTTTTACAAGCTTTCTTAATATAAGATTTTTTTTTACTTTAAAAAAAAAATAGAAACTATCCAATTATTTAATATGAAATTGAATCTTTTTTTTTTTTTGGTTGACTCAAACACTCTTTTAACCTGTTTTTTTTTTTTTTTTTCTTCATTATTATTATTTTTTTTTTCTTCATTATTTATTTATTATTATTATTATTATTATTATTATTATTATTATTATTATTATTATTATTATTATTATTATTATTATTATTATTATTACTATTTTCTTTATTTATGATTTTTTTAAATTTTATTTCAGAAAAATAATTGTTCCACTCCATCTTCTTTATCAAATGAAGAAGCCAAATATCTTACTGAATCTTTTTCATTTGGTTATGGTCTTGTACAGATTGCATTGTCAGTTGTTCCTGCCACACTATTAAAGTTTTGTGAAGTGTTTGGATTTCATGTTAACAAAGAAGTTGGACTGAGTTCTTTATTGATTTCAAGCAACAGCAATGATATGAAATCTCCCATTGCAAGGTAAACTTAATGTGAAATCAAGCATTTCTTATACCATCTTTTAATGTGCCACCATTTTTAAAGTTTAAATTGTTTATACAATTTTTTTATAGGCTGGGTGAATAAAAAAAAGCAATTGTTTTTATTTGTTTTTATTTAGCTTTGTTGGAGCAATTGCTCAGCTTTACATAAATAAAAATTTGAGGAAAATCCCTCAAATTTGTATTCACATAAAACTAAACAATTTCCACAAAAAACACAGAGTAATTGCTCAGCTTTACCTGAATAAACAAATTCGCTAAAATTTTTATTCACATAAAGCTGAGCAATTACTCTAAAAATGCTGAGTAAAAGCAATTGGTTTTTTTTATTCACCCAGCCTTTTGTTCCACCGTTTTTATTCACCCAGCCTAATGTTCCGCCATTTTTAACGTTTAAGTTAGTTTTGCATTAAAAAAACTTTGATAAACTTAGAGTAAATATTTTTTAATATTATACATTATTTCAATAAAAAAATTTTTTTTTTTTTTTCTTATTGCTCACAATATATATTAATGATTTATTATGAATACAACAGTTTATATCGTCAGATTATCAATTAATATCAAACTTTAAATAACTCTAGTATTGCTATTCCTTAGGATTTTTAAGTGTATTACAAAGGAAAATTGTGATTTTTTTTTTGCCCCTTTGCGATTAGTTTTTTCAAAATGTATATATTATATATATATATATATATATATATATATATATATATATATATATATATATATATATATATATATATATATACATACCATTTTTTAAAGTTTCATTTTTTTTATTTATGGTGCAACCACAGTTTTTTAAAAATTGGCTAATCTTTTTTAGAAAAACTTAAAAAAGGACAATATAATTTGTTTCAAGTGTGTCAAATATTTGATCACTAAATTAAAAATAAGTATTTTGAGAACTAATATATTTTGATACACTTTTTTTTTGTTTATTGCAGAAGTTATTAGAAGAAGCAAATAATATTTTAATAGAAAATAATTACTAATTTGTTTTGTAAAACCTAAAAATTAGAAATATATTGAAAAGACATTTCTATAATTCAAACCTTTATAATTTTTGTTTTAAATAATAGGTTTTAAATTACTTTAGTTTTTAATAATGTATACTATCGCCTTTCTAACACCCTTTGGTCTGGCATTGTAATAATTAAATAAGGAATGTTTATTAAAATTACACTAAATTTCTAAAACAAACAAAACAACAAACAAATCAAAATCTTACTCAAACTCAAAGTGAAATTATTATTTTCTTTGTTAGGATATCGTTATGATCTAACGTAACAAACGGATAGAACTATGGAAATTTCGCCTGTATACATACCGAATTTAAAACATTCTAGAAAATTTAGTTTCAAATTTGTCATAAACACAAACATAAATTTGTCATAAATTTTTTTTTTTTTTTTAATTTGCATTCACTCTCAACAAGGCTGCAAGCAACCACTATTAATTTGCGAGTTACTAGGAAAAAAAAGAACAGAGTTATAGTGCAAGGAAACGGTTGACAGAAGACTTGAAAAGTTGAAGGTTGTATGAGTCAGGAAAACATGAAGATGGGAGAGAGTTCCAAAAGATTGAAGTGCGGGGAAAAAAACTAGATGAATAAAAGTTTTTAGAGCATGCAGGGACAGATACAGTAAACGAATGAGACTTAGCTGAATGACGAGTAAAACAAGAATGAATTTTAGTTAATGGAACTAGAGGTGATAACTCCTTTGAGCAGTGACCATGATAGTATTTGTAGAAAAGAGAAAGAGATGCAACTTTACGACGATGGGAAAGAGGTTCAAGCTTAGCAGATAGTCCAGGTCCAACAACATTTACAATGCGTTTTTGGACCTTGTCAAGAAGAGAAAGTGAATCATTAGAAGAACCAGCCCAAATATGACAACAGTATTCCATACAGGGAGGAATAAGAGATTTGTAGGTAGAGAATGGAATCAGAAGTAAGGAAATGGCGAGCACGATAAAGAGAAGCAACCTTAGCAGAAGCTAATTTAGCAATCGATTGTATATATGGTTTCCATGAAAGGTCAGTAGTAAGCGATAATCCAAGAAGACGTAAAGAGGACGACTCAGTAAGAGGATTGCCATTCATTAATATAGGAATGTTGACCATATTACGGTAGTTGTTTGCAGTAAGCAACTGGGTTCTTTTAGAGTTGAAATTCACAAGCCACTGTGAACCCCAATCTATTACTGAAGTGAGATCGGATTCAAGATCAGCTGCTTGTTCTAGGCGATCGAAAAGAGGAGACTTTTTGTCAAGACAGGAGTATAAAGTTGAGTCATCAGCAAAAAGAGCTACTTTAGATGAAAGGTTGTCAGGAAGATCATTTATGTAGATAAGAAACAAAACTGGGCCAAGGGTGGAACCTTGGGGAACCCCAGAAGTTACTGGAAATAAAGAAGAGTGTTGGCCTTCAAGGATGACTTTAATAAACCGGTTAGAAAGAAATGATTTGATAATCTCAAAAACTTTGCCAGAAACACCATATGAAGCAAGCTTATGGAGAAGACCAGCATGCCAAACTTTGTCGAAAGCTTTAGATATGTCAAGAGCAATAGCCCTAGCCTCACCGCCTCCATCTAATGCACAATAAAATCTTTCAGTTACAGCAGTTAGCAAGTCGGCCGTAGAGCGAGAGGATCGAAAACTGTATTGATTATCTGACAATCGTATCTGTAGTTTATTTGACTCAAGATGAGATGTGAGGAATTTGTTGATCAAAGACTCAAAGACCTTGCTAATAACAGAAAGAAGACTGATCGGACAATAATTGGAGGGGTCAGAATTTTCTCCAGAGTTTTTGAATATTGGAACCACAAGTGCCATTTTCCAACAAGGAGGAAAACAAGACTCAGTCAAACACTTGTTAAATAGTTTAGAGAGAATTTAAGAAAGTTCTGGAGAACAATTCTGCAAGACTGTGACAGGAATGTTGTCTGGACCACAAGCTGTAGACGAATTTAATTGAGATATGACTTTAGCAACAGAAGCCGGAGTGATTTGAATGTCTAACAATGGGTCAACCTGTTTGACTGGAATGGAAGGAAGAGAATGTCCATAAGATTCAAGAGTGGAATTAGAAGAAAAGTTCTTTGCAAATAGTTCTGCCTTATCCTTGGGAGAGGTAATAAGATCAGCCCCATGAATGAGAGATGGAATGTTAGATCTACCCTTGTTAACAATGCTGTTGAAGATTTTTCAAAAGTCTTTAGAGCCTAACTTCTGCGATAAGATGCGAGATTTAGTGAACTGAGAATAATGGAGTTTAGCATCAGAAAGCACCTTTTTACATCAATTTCTTGCAATAATAAATAGCCGTTTGTTCTCAAGAGAGTTGTTCTTTTGAAAATGATGAAAAAAATGATTACGATTGGATATAGCAGCCGCACAAGAAGGAGAAAACCATGGAGTAGAATGAGGCTTGACTTGAAACCGACGAGAAGGAATAAAAGCTTCCATTCCAGCCTGAATCCAGGAGGTTACCTAGGAGGCGCATTTGTCAGCTGAGAGAGAAAAAACATCAGCCCAAGGACCATCACGAAGAAAATCACGAAAGGAATCCCAGTCAGCTTTACGGTAGTAGTAGGTGGTGCGATGATAAGGTGAGCCCAAAAAAGAAGTATGAGAAGAAAGATTTATAAAGATCATTGCATGGTCAGAACCACCTAAGGGAGAAAAGGGAGAAACTGAACATAAGCTAGGGTCAGAGACAAGACATGAGTCAAGGAGTGAAGGTAAATGATTAGGGTTGTCAGGAAAACGAGTCACAAAGTTAACTATCTGAGTAAGAGATTGAGAATTGCAGAAGTTAAAGGCTTTAGTGCTAGCAGGATCAGTGGTGTTAGAGCCAAGTCATTCAGTGTGATGGGCATTAAAATCACCAACAACAACAATATTGGCAGAGGGGTAAAGAGAGAGGGCATGGTCAATTTGATCAGAGATAACATCTAAGAGAGTGCAATCATGGGAAGAAGGAGAACAATAAAGAACAAAGAGAAAGGTGATAGAGTGAAGAGGTGCTAGGCGAAAGCACATAAAAGAATGGTTCAAGGATTCGAACCAGATTTCACGACAAATAGGGGAATTAATGCATATGTATACCCCTAAACCTAGCATGTGACTATTTGAGTCTTTACGAATCAAAGGATAGTACCCATCAACACTGACATCTGAAGAAGGAATTGCAGGATTTAAATTTGTTTCACTGAGTGCAAGCAAGTCTAGTGAATTTTGCAGGAGGTAAGACTCAACTGATGGAAAGTTGCTTCGTAGACCGCGAATATTTGTAAAAGATGTATTAAAATATTTAGGTGGTGGGGATGGTTTTTTACATTGGTTAATACATTTACATGGTTAATACATTTGTTTGCAAAAGGTCTAATATAAATAATTTTTGTGGTTAGTTATACAAATATATTAAAATCTGCAATAACTGCATGGAACTATTGAAAATTAACTGAGTGTAATGATGTTACATATAGGTTGATGTGCTGTTAAATATCAAAGTTAATATAAATTTGATTTGTCTGATTTGATTTGCAATCTAGCAATTTTATAAACTTTTTTGGTATTTTGAAATAATTACAATGATTTTGTGAGTTTTTTAGTTTGATTTATGTTTTGATTGTGCGAAGTAATTTTGGGTTAAAGTTTTGCTTGACAAATAAAAACAAAAACAATGCAAAGAAATAACTTTTAGTTAAAACTTGTCCTAAGACTAGCTTCCAATAGTTGTATAAATATTGTGCAATAGTTGTAGAAATATTGTGCAGTAGTTTTAGAAATATTGTGCAATAGATTTTAACAATCTCTAGCATATTATTTTCAACTCGACGTTTGTTGTACAACAGATTTTAAAAATGTTTACTAAAGGGGTGTTACTCTTACTTTTATAACTTTTTATAAAATATTTTGTATATTACTTTTATCAAAAAGTAAATCTCAAAAAATATTCCAGATATTTTTTATCAGTTATAAAAATTATTAGAATCGTTATGTTATCCATCAAAGATATTATGCTTTGCATTTAAAAGTGATAAATTTAATGTCTTTTTGTGAAAAAATTACCAGGATGACATTTGGAATTAGATAAAATGGACATTCACGACTAAGTATTCCAAATTTCAACCATCAAGCACATAAGTTATAAAATCTTAGTTGTCTCAGGCTTTCTGCAAAATACATAAAAAACAGAAAAGTGTAAATATCTGCTTAATATAAATATTTACTGATACTGATAAATAAACTAAATATAATTGGATCAATAAATATAAAAAATAAATAAAGCATATAAAAAAGGAAGTGAGTTGAATAAATTTTAAACACAACCTTTATAATCTAAGATAAAACCCTTAAAACTCACCAAACTTATAAACTTACATGGTTGCAAACTTATATGGTTACAAATTTACATGGTTACAAACTTACATGGTTATAAACTTACAAACATGGTTGTAACTAACATGGTTGTTTAAATGAACTAAATAGGAAGTTTTGATAAGTTAATAAGAAATATACAGTATTATAAAACATACTTTGATTTAGTAATTCACAAATAAATTACATAAGTATATTTTAAGCAGTGTGTTAAATATTTGAAGTGTTAAATGAGTTAAAAAGTTTTTACTTTAAAGTAGAAAATAAACAACAGTTTAAAGTAGAGAATAAACAACAGTTTAAAGTAGATAATAAGCAACAACTACAAGTGTAGATTAAACAAAAATTTAATAATTGTTATGTAAAATATTATAGTATCATATAACAAATAGATTACAAAATCTCTTATTGAATAAGGAAACAAAATGCATTCTATTTTCATGTTTTCTAGTTTTTTCATTCCTGATTTGTTTTTTGTTTGTTTACAAAGCTTTCATTTTTTTGTTTAAAAAGCTTTTATTTTTTTGCTTAAAAAGTTTCATTTTAACTTTTTACTTTATCTTTTTAACATAAATTTATATTTTTATTAAAGTTTTGAATTGGATTTTGTAGGCTGACACTGCTATGGTATCATACAATAGTTTGTCCATTTTGTAATGTTGATGGAGAAAACCTTGAGAAAGGTTTGTTAATTTTTTTTTATTAAAATGATTTCTTAATTATTACAATGTTAGGCGCTTGCATCAATTTGTTAGCTGTTAAGAACTGTGTTCAAATCATAAAAAAGTTACAAAATTACTGCCACTCAATAATTAAATACTAAATTTAGAATACTTTTTATTCTATACTTATGCAATCTCCAGAAAAATTATCTATTTGGATTTGGCAGTTGCAAAAACCAATGTTAAATAACAATGTAAAAGTTCCAATAAACTCCTTTAATTGTTGTGCAGTTGATTTTGATTAACTTAAACTAGCCCATTTGTTTATTATGACAGTTAGCCGGTAGTTGATTGTTTAAGAATAAATGGTAGAAATGCATGTACTGCTGCATAATTTCAAAATATGATTTGTGATTTTGTTAATAATTGTTGCATTATGTTAGTTAAGTTTTTTTTTCTGAGTTGTAAAATATATCTGGTTGATTGTAGTCAGCTCATTCATTGGATCTCTTATAAGAGAGACAATAAGATTGGTGTCTAAACTCCCTAAATAGAATGCATTGTTAACAATATCAATTTTACAAATTACTTTCACTTACATAAAAGCAAAGTTAATGTTTCATGAAATACTTGACAATGTGTATTTTATTTTATTTGCCAGTTTCTAGGTTATATGCTAACTAATTCATTAAATGTGCTCAGCAACCATATGCAATCACATCAATATGAGATATTGATTTTCTTATTTTTTTTTATTGATAAAACTTCGTTAAGATGATTCGGATGGGTGAGGGCTACCAAATATGTCAGGTGTGTCATTATCGATTTCAGTTGTAGCATGTATACTATATAAAGTAATAAACAAGTTTTATAAAAAATTAAGTCTTATAAGAAAAATAAGCAAGTCTTATAAGAAAAATAAGCAAGTCTTATAAGAAGAATAAACAAGACTTAAAAAAAGAATAAGCAAGTTTTATACGAAGAACATTCTTTTAATAAATATCATTTAAAACATTTATTTTGTTATTCAAAATAAGAAAAGTATTAACATGTAGAGAAAAAAAAAAGAAAAATGAAGCCCTAGATTTATTTGACCAAAAAGCTTTTTCTCAAAAAAAAAAATAATAATAGTAATAATAATAGTGACCACTATATATTATCACTAATTATTAAAAATAACCAATTATTATGAATGTACGTTTTGTAATATCTCCTTCTGTTGTATCACCTTCATAATATCAGTTATTTAAGTGTATCTGTGCACTTGCTGGTGGCAAGTACAAAAATTCTGCACTGTTTGTTCCTTCCACAAGACCCTGCAGTATGTTTTTTTTCATGGCGTTGCATTTCACTTTGCATCTCTGCCACTCTTTGACAGTCCTCTTGTTGACAGCCATTGTAATGTGTTTATAGTTGACAGTTATTATTATAAAATGTTCAAAGTTGGCGTCATTGTGAAATATTGATAGTCAGTAACTATTTAAGAACTTAGATTAAAATTTTTATTTTTTAATGTTATTAATTCAATTTTAATGTCTTTCAATGTACAGACATCAATCTAAACTAAATTTGTACATTTTCAGCAACTAATTATGCTTCTTATTTAGAAAAATAAGATAAACTGTAATTTTTAATTAAATAAGCTAGAAATATTTGTTACAGTTGTCATAGCGACTTAAGTTGATTAGTACTATTCATCAAAATAAACTCTTTTGAAATCATTTTAATTATTTTTAAATTTATTTTTTAGAGTAAGGTTGCTGATATTGTACCTCTAAATGCAGACTATTAAATTCCCTTCGGAATTAGTTGCTAAGAGGTAAGAAAGTTCACAATTTACATTTAAGTATTTAACTAAACTAAAAATTGGTGCATTAAATGATCTTTATTGTGTGAAGCTAATTTTATAGGGAAGGTTGTTGGTGTATTAAATGATTGTTTTTTGTGTGAAACTAATTTTTCAGGGAAATTTATTATTGAAAAAGTTGTGTTTTCAAATCATGTAAATTTGTCCTAAAATCATGTTACTATAGTAACAGGTATAAATCCTGTAATAAAAGCATCAACTCTTTAATACGTACAATACGTAAAAATAGCTTAATACAAAAACAACAATAATAATATAGAATAATAAATAAATAATAAACAACCAATCATATATTTATATTTGCTTGTATTTACTCTTTTTTTTATGTGACACTTGAATAATTACAATATTATTCACTATAATGAATATACTACATTTTAATGAATTTAGTATATTCATTATAGTGTTGACTTTGTTTAATCCATATATGTTAAAAATGAAAGTTTCCAATTACAATTTTACTGTATTAAAAAAAAAATTATTACTTATCATATAAAACATTTAAACAAATTTTTACAATTTAAAAACTTTTTTATGATTGTTTTAAGAACTTTTCATTAAATCTTCCACTTGATTTAAAACTTTTTTTAAGGTTCAATTAAATTTGCAGACTTATTTAAATGTGTCATTTTTTTAAAATGTTTTCTCCATTTTTTCTTTTTGAGGTATTAAAGGTATTACAATAAACAAATCTTATGTTTATATAGTTAAAAAAAGTTTTAAAATTATTTCAACTTCAAAATTCCTGAATTAAAATGCACAGAAATTAAATGTTTACATTTAATTTCTGTGCATTTTATAATTGAAAATATTCAAATTTTCACTTTATATAAACTAAGGGTTAGTACAATATCAGCATACCTAAATTTTTTTTTTTAAATAGTTTTTTAAATTTTGTGTATATAAACATCTACAATAAATATAAAGATGTTTTATTTAAACAATGGATACAGCATCCCAAAAAGGACTCTGGATTTTAAAATTACAAAATGATTATTTATTCCTGATTTATGGTATCCAGGAGCTCCAAAAATGTAAAGAGGCTTATTGACTATTTTTGGGTAAAAATTAAAATTTTTAGGTTATAGGAACAATCAAGTTTTTAACCTGGACTCATCCATAAGTGATGTTGCAGTAGCTTGCTTTGTAAGCAAGAAATTCAGAGCCTCGTAATGTCCCTGGTAATACCGTGCTTAACTTGTTTCTACACACAGCGGTCTTGTTTATCAAAGTTCATAATCTTATTGTTTCATGTGTATCTAAGTCTGCAAAAGTACCCCAACTATGTTTCATTTAAAAATATGCAAAATGAGAAGTAGCCTTTTTTCACTTTTTAGAATCATTGAGTTTTAGTTGTTACAACTTATTTTTGTATTTAAATAGCATGTTTTTAAAATGATGAAATTAAAAAGTATTTGAGAATTAGAAAACTTTTTTTTTTTTTTTTTTTTTTTTTTTTGCATTGCTTTAATTCAAGATATAAATGAGATAAAATGATGGGACTAGGTTAATAAACTAATTATTGAATCAAAAAAGTTGAAATAAAAAGTTCAGCGATAAATTACCTATAAATACCTATAAAGTCAATTTCAGTCATGCTTTAGTTTAAACATAAACTATTTAGCAAGTTGTTAAAATATTTACTTTCTCTTTTATTAGTAAGTTAGTATTTGAAAAAAACAAATTCTTAATAAAATGGGCTTTACTCTAATATATTTATTTTTTGTTTGTTAGATAAAAATGTATTTTTTTCTGCATTGTTTTGTTTTTTTTAATATTGTAAATATAATATAATATATAGGTTTAAAGGAAGCAGCAGAAGTGTTAAAAGGCTCAGAAGAAGAGTTTCCAACATCTACAATCTTTATTTATTTCAGGGCTCTTCTTTGCCGCCTAAGGGTATGATTGTTTTGATTTTTACTTTGTTTTACTTTTCTTTGCAAATTTTTTTAAATAATAATTCTTATAAAAAATGTACAGAAATTTATTTTTGTGATTTGTAATTAACAAACTAAAAGCATTGGAAAGGCGTAGAGAAGTTTAAGCTTGGAAAGCATTTGAAAAAACATTTTTTTATTTTCTAAAGTAACATCAGACTTTTCAAGGTATTATATAGATTTAAAAGTTGTTGTTTTTTTAAAAATTAAAGTTTAAAATTAAAGACATTTAAACTTAAGTTTATCTTATTTTAACTATTAAATTTAAAGCTACTTAATTGTGGTTATAACCCTCTCTCAACTTTATAACTTTGAAACACAAACCTTGACGAACAAGGCTGCTGCGCAGTTCATCAGAAACAAGTTGAGGGCGGTACTACCAGGATTATGGTGGGGATTGAACTCAGAACCTCTTGCTTATGAAGCAAGTAATTTACCATTACACCACTACCGAATACACTACCTTCATAAGAAAATGCAACTAAAACGAAAATTACTGTGTTGGAATTGCAACTTAATGATGGGGAAACATAAAAGTGCAATTGTTGAACTTCAGAAATTATTACAAAAATGTTGGAAAATTTCCATGCTCTCATGAAATCTTTTAATTGTAGTTTCAATATAGAAGGGGAAATGTTTCAATATACAAGTGGTTCGAAATACAATTGGAACAATCAAAGTATTTATAATGGGTTTTTTCTTCGCTTATTATAAAATGAATAGTATTCAGACTTTCTTTTTCACAAGAACACCTCTCTGGATTACAATTGTCTTGTTATTATTGCAAAAAATTAATACAAATAAGTTTTGTTTGTTGTTTCTAAATTTTTGCTTAGAGTCCTTTTTGAAAAAAAAAAATTTTTATCAATTGTTTACTATCAATCCATTCATATATATTCTGAAATAGTTGTCACATTCACGGAAGTTTATAAATAGTACATGTACTAATCTTAAGTAAAAATCTTGCAAATAAAAGCTAATAAATATATTGATTAATGCTAATAGTAAAATTAATCATTCACAGCAATAACAAAACGAACATTAAAAGTTAAAGGAGTAAAAATACTAATAATGATAATAATAAAAGTTGTAGTTGTAACAATAGTAACAATACAATGATAAAAGTACAGACACATACAAATGCACACATACAATCATACATACACACTTACGTTCACAAATACATATAAACACATATACTTATATCCACCTGTATTCAATACAGGTATGTATACATTAATTGTATTTAAACTTAATATACACACATATATGTAGATTCATATATACTATACACAAATATATGTATATACACACACGAACATATACATACACATACATACATAACACATACACATATATAAACATTAATACATATACACACATTTAATAATATTATATGTATATTATATATGTATATATTATATACACCAACACATATTCGCATACACACACATACAAGAGGTAGGTTTTTGTGTGGTGATTCTAGACAAACTGGCGATTCCAGACAATTACTGCTTGCTGTTACAACATTTGAGATTTGTACTTTGAATTGAAATAGTGTAAAAAACATTTGGTAAAAATTTTGGCTTACTTAAAAAAGTTTATGAAAGGTTAATCATTAAAAATTGAAAACAATTTGGTGTTTCATTTCCATGTCATTGCATAAATATGTTTTCACAGCTTTCGCTGTGGTATAAACTGAGAACAAAATAATACATCTACAATACAGGATGAATTAGATAAATTGACTGTGGCTGGTTATATTATTGACAAGCAAAAAATAAATAATAATATATGTTAATTATCAAAAGAAATATTATAAGTACAACACAATTCATTACATTCAGTGTTATTGAAGTTTGTTGGGTTTACAAAAATATTGATGTTGCAGGTTTTTATGAAAAAATTTATCATATTTAAAATATTTTTGTAATATACTTGGAAACCTTTTTTATTTCTAGCAACACTTATATAAAAATTTGGGATAAAATTCCAATTTTTGAAATAAGTTTTTTTTTTTTAGAAAGTTATTTTTACTTCGTTTTTTTTTTTTTTTTTTTTTTTTTTTTTTTTTTTTTTTTTTTTTTTTTTTTAAACTTCTTTTTCCAGTAGGTTGACATAAAAAATTGTTAAAAATAAATTAAAAACTTTTTTTTATTTTTGATCTTTTTGCGAAAATTTTGAAATATTTAAAATTAAGTGAGTTTTACACTTTATAAGGTTGTATCATTTGATTTAAAATATAATTTGATGAAATTTGAAACCTAGTTAATTATGCTATTGTTATATAATTATGTTAATTGTATTTAATTATGCTTCTATTTAAATTAAAGCAATTTATTTTTTCAAAAAATTTATTTCTCCAAGCCTAACTTTTTTGAGTTCTCTTGTTCAAATTGCCATAATTTTTGGAAAAGTATTGTATTATCTTTTTAGTTAATATTTAAAATTAAAGTTTCCATTTTCCAGATGCTTGACACATATATTTTAAGTGCAAAAAAATATTTCACCTCCTTTGACACAAACAAATTATGCATAAATTTTAAACTAAAAGTTCAGACAAATAAAATGCCACAAAAAGTATTTTAAATACAATACAAAAAGTATTTTAAATACAATACAAAAAGTGTGTTCTTTGATTCTTGAAAATGTTCTTACAACCTCATTGAACTGTATTGAATATGCATAGCCCTTAGTTTTTAACCATGATGGATGCTTTTCTTAAACACAACAAACCTTTACTGTGGTTTGCTCAGGTTTTTGTACTGTTCTGTGTGTTTGCTCTGATGTAAAATCAGTTGTAAAAAGACAGCAAGGCTGCAAGCAAAAATTAAGTTGCGAGTTAAAAGAAAATAAAGTCTAGGGTTAAAGAGAAAGAAAGTTACAGAAGGTAAGATTTATAAACATAGGCATGAATCAAGAGTAAGACTATGGTAACCAGGTCCCAAATTTGCAATGGATTGTAAATATGGTTATTATAAGAGGTCAGTAATAAAACTTGTGAAGACATAATGTCAGAGTGCTTTCCTTCATCAATGAAAATATATATATAATATATCAAAATGTTAAATATCAACAATATAAAAATTCCAATAACTATAAGCAGTAAATAACTGAGTTTAAATTTGTTAAATATTTATCCTAAGCTGTCACAGAAGATCTGATTCAAAAGCTGTCACAGAAGATCTGATTCAAAAGCTGTCACAGAAGATCTGATTCAAAAGCTGTCACAGAAGATCTGATTCAAATCATCATCAAATTGTCATCAAAATGTCATCATCAAATCATCATCAAATTGTCATCAAAATGTCATCATCAAATTGATACAACAAAACACTTTTGAGATAATATTATTAAGGTCATTAATTTTAGATAGAAAAAAAAATTATTAATTAAAAATTAAAATTAGGGTTAGATAACATTAAATAACCATCAAAAACCTTGTGATAACAGAACCCAGATCCCAGAAGTTACTGGAAATCAGGATTATGTTATCCATCAGGAACAAGTTTATTTTTTTATCACAATTAAAAAGAAATGATTCAATAATTTTATAAATATTATCAGATGCACCATAAGAATCAAGCTTGTGGAGAAGACCAGTATGCCAGACTTTATGAAAGCTTTCAATATGCCAAGAACAATAGAAACATAACAATAGAAGAACAATCGAAAGTACAATCATCACTTTTAATCTGTATAATTTTTCTGCAACACTTAAAAAGTCAGAGGTAAAAAAAGATATAAATCTCTTTTGATTGTCATAGAGTAAGTTGCTCAACTTAAGATGAGATATTATAATTTTGTTGATTAATATAGTTTAAAGACTTCTTACTTTTATTAGCTAAGTAGTAGTAAGAAGACTGGGAAATAATTACATCGTTTAAATTAATTTACCAGAGTTTTAAAAAATTTGAACCGCAGTTGTCATTTTCCAGCAAGCAGATTCAGTTCAGTGGTTCTTACATAGTTTACAGAGCAATGAAGAGAGGTCTGGAAAATACTTTTGTAAGATTGTGATAGGATTGTCCATACCACAAGCTGTGAGAAGTATAGGTGAGAACTCAAGCAATAGAAGTAAGAGTAATTTTGATGTCTATTAATGAAGTAACTTGTTTCTTTGAGATGACAGGAGGAGTGTAGTCATAAGATTTAAAAAGTGAGTTGAAGAGAAAATTCCTTGCAAATTGTTCTGCCTTATCTTTGAGAGATGTAATAAGATCAAACATAATGATAAGAGATCGAATATTAGAATTCGTGACTCAAAAACTTTCTGAAAGTTTCTAGAAAATTTCTCAATACAAAATACAACAAAAGGAGAAAAAATACAAGAATCAGTATTAGTTTAGTAATTTAAGAATAATGGACTAGAGATTATAAAGAAGGTCCAATTTTTTACAGAGAGACAAAAGACATTACTCTAAGGACCATCGCTACTAAATTCACATAAAGAATCCCAGTTATCATTAAGATTAAAAAGTTTTCAGAGAAAATTAGCAAATAATAGTAAGGAATTATGGTTGTCTGGGTTACAAAGTTAATTATTTGAGTAGAAGATCTGAGAGATCAATATAAAACTAGGATAGAAAATATTAAAAAATAAGGTTGCAGATTATATTTAAATTTCAAATTTCATTAAAATATACTTTAAATTTCATTAAAATATATTTTTAAATGTATCAAAAGATACAGATAAAATTTTTTAACCCCCTCATTTTTTAAAACCATTTTTTGAACATTATTTCAGAAAAATAATCAGAGATAAAATGCAGCTTTTGATTGGTTTTTAATGGTTTTTATTTCATGTCAAGATAGTGAAAATAAAGATTTTTAAAAGCCTGAATTAAAATATATTTTACTAAAATGTTTTTAAAAAACAGATAAGTTTTATTCCATTTTATTCAAACTGAATCAACTGCTATCAAACTTTATTTCTTAGACTAGAAACTAGATTTGATCTTCTGTGTGTAAAGCATGAGTTGGTTGTGAAACTTTTAACAATATCACATTTGCTGTTGATGGCTCTGTAATTCCTTCATATTTTGGAATATGTCATCTACTTTGGTAGTATCATCACATTTTGAAAGAGCATTTATTTATTTGTGATACAATCCCAATATAAAATTAACAAGAAGTTTAGCAAAAAGAATAAAAACCTTGAACATATTACAACACTTACATTGTAATTCTATCTGCTTTACTCTGTATTAAGTGTTTGATAAAAGAACAACTTCTTTAAAAAATTATTTTAAATTATTTTTTTAAAGTATTAAAAAAATTATTTTAAATTATTTTTTTAAAGTTTTATTTAAAATTGATGCAAAGTAATTGTAAGCTTTAACATTTAAAAAATGAAGAAATGTTATGAATTGCTTGTTGAGTTCTTTTATTTATTTTCAAAAATATTTTATATTATTATTCAGGGAATTATTTCATAAGTATTACTATAAATATGCCAATAAATATGCAATAAATATTGGCAATAAAAATGCTTCAATCATTATTCTTTGTATTTAAAGTTGACAATAAGTTTTAGTTATTTTAACACACACTGGCTTTTTAACCTTTTTTATTATAATAGTGAAATAAAACTTATTTAATCAAACTTATGTAACACAAATGCTATACATACTTTAACTTTCAATAGTTTATTATTTAACACTTGCAGATTTTTAAATTAAAAAAATCATTGAGGATTTAAGTCAGGATTAAAATTCAGCTAGAAGGTCACAAGTAAAATTTAGTCAAGAAGTCATGAGTAAAATTTAGCCAGGAGGTCACAAGTAAAATAACTAAATAACAATATGCAAAAGTGGTATATAACTTGTAAACTGGTAACTGCTGTAAAACTTTACTAAGACTTCTAGAAAATGTTGCAGCATTTTCATGTCGTATCCAAGATTTTTAAATAACAAATCTTTGGACTTATAAAAAATTTATTGAAAAATTGTTTTGTAATAAAAATAACTTTTTGTGTTATTATTTACAGAAAATGAACTTTAAAGTATGTTAAAGTATTTTTTTGTTTTTAATGATTTAGGGTAATCTTGAAGAATCATTAAATTTACTATCTAGAACTGTATCTACTAATTCAGAACAAAAAGAAATTATCCTGCTATGTTGTTATGATAAAGGTTGAATTTTATTTATGTAGTAGAAAATATAATTTTTTATTTTAGTGTTGTAATAATTATTACTTATGATTTATTAAATATTTCTACAGATTTTTTGAGAAAAAGTTTTTTTAATATGGTTTTTATTTCTTCAAAATTGCATGAATTGTTTTACAAAATTTTTAGGTTGGTGTCATTTACTTAAAATGGAATGGAATGAATCTTTCATTTGTTTCTCAAAGTATTTCCATTTAGTTGTGACTTTCCTCTTTTCTCTTATTTTTTCAAACTTTCTCAATTTCTTTTCCATCTTTCTCTCTCTCTCTCTCTCTCTCTCTCTCTCTCTATATATATATATATATATATATATATATATATATATATATATATATATATATATATATATATATATATATATATATATATATATATATATATATATATATATATATATATATATATATATACAGGGGTGGGACCGCAAAATGTGAACACTTTTCTGATTGTAATAATTAATTTTCTGTTAAATATGAACTATTTTAAATAAGAATGTCCAATGGTTGGACATTCTTATTTAAAATAGTTCATATTTAACAACTCTTTAGACACTTTCTGATGAGTGAGAGAGTACAACTACATCTAACGAGAAAATAGTTATAATAAAACAAAAACGTTCGCATTTTGCGGTCCCACCCCTGTATATATATATATATATATATATATATATATATATATATATATATATATATATATATATATATATATATATATATATATATATATCTTTCTTTTTTTAATCGCTATAGATCTCTTAATGGTTTTTAGTTTGTTTTTTAATATTTTGAAAAGGAGTTAATAAATAATTTTGCATTAGGTTACAACAAGAATCAAAGTGGTCTGAAGCATACTACGCTTACTTATTAGCACGTAATCTCTTTTTACTTATGTTTTGTATTGTGTGATGTATTTTTACTTATGTTTTATATTGTGTGATGTATTTTTACTTTTTACTTATGTTTTATATTGTGTGATGTATTTTTACTTTTTACTTATGTTTTATATTGTGTGATGTATTTTTACTTTTTACTTATGTTTTATATTGTGTGATGTATTAGGAAACATATAAGAAAAGTAATATCAGCAGTATTTAATGTTATATGGCTTCATTCTTCATTAAATAAAATTTTAGAATTGTTTGTTCCCTTTTTTGAAAGCATTACGGAATAACCACTTCCTGGAAAAAAAATTAAATTTGATAGAAGCATAAATATAAAGTTATCTAATAGAAATATCTCATAAAACTTATATTTACTATTCATGGAAAATAAATAATTCCTTGGAAAAAATATATTAGATAATTTACATTTACATTTCCTGAAAAATTAATTATTTGATATAGAAAGTACTTAAGATTGTTTATATTTCATTGCGTGGAAATGTAAATATAAATTATCTCATAGTGAAATTCAAAATTTAAGAATATAAAAGTCGCATCATAATGGTGTATATTTACCTTTTATGTTGATTGTATAACAGCCTGTTTTTAACTTAAATTAAATTTTAAATTTTAATTTAAATTTATTTATTTTTTATAAAAATTATTTCTAGCAGTTATAAATTAAATAATAAATATATAATTATTATTATATATATATAGTTATAAATTTAAATTATAAGTAAATATAAATTAAGGACCAAAGTGTGTTATTTGCTAAAAATAAACGTGACTATATTGTTTATAAACATATTAAATGAATTTAAAAAACAATTTCTGTTACATGTCATGTCATTTTAGATGTTAACTGCTTTCTGACTAAGACTTGTTCTCTGTGACCAAAATTGATTTCTTAGTGATTTACTTGACTTTTTTAGCAACTTAAAATAAAATAAATACTTTTTTTGAGTTTAAGTTTCTAAAAAATAGATTATTAAGAAACATTAAGAATTAAAACCTTTTTAATCACAATTAAATGCTTTTTATCTTTTATTTATATTTTTTCCTAATTTTTCTTTAGTTACTTCTGGAGCTTTAAATAAACTTGGTGAAGCATTCACATTATTAAAATCTGTTCCTAAAAAAGTTGTCCGTAAAACACAGCTTGAAGTTTATCTTACAAGAAAGGTTTCTTTTCTGTCATTAACTTTTTTTTACTACTTTTATGTAGTACACAGTTATTTAAATTATCTAGTAGACAGATTATTTAAATGTTTTAATACCATCATAAATATTAAATTCAATTTATTTAGTATAATATTTATCTTTATTTTTTAGTGTCATTTGTACAAAAACTCTCCTCCTAATCAAGTAGAATATATAGTTTTGATATTTGAATTACTTTATTTATGGAATTCTCTTCCTCAATGTACTGAAGATGGTTTACGAGCTATGATGGCAGGTATAGATACATTTATGTATAGACACACATGTATGTTTTTGTTTTTTTTTTTTTATTATTTTACTTCACCTCCTCAAGGCCGAGAAGGCCACTACAATCGAGGAGGCTACTTATTTTGTGGCTATAACCCTCTCTCAACTCTATAACTCCGAAACATGAACCTTGACGAACAAGGCCGCTGCGCGGAGAAACGAGTTGAGCGCGGTACTACCAGGGACGTGGCGGGGATCGAACTCGGAACCACTCGTTTATGAAGCGAGTGCTCTACCACTACACCACTACCGCTATGTGTATGTGTGTTCCCAATCTCAGCCGATGTATTTACTGAATATTTTGAACATACTCAAGCAGCTTCCTATTTCAATTTTCTTGATGTTGGAGTGCCAACCTAAATATGCTCTTATAGTTGTATATATTTATATATATATATATATATATATACATACATGTATATTTATATACATGTATATATACATATGTATATATATACATGTATATTTATATACATGTATATATGCATATGTATATATATATATGAGTGTGTGTATATATGCATATACACACATATTTATGTATGAATACAAACATATACACATGTTTTTATACATGTACACATGTGTGTATATATAGAAATATAAATATATGAATATATATATATATATATATATATATATATATATATATATATATATATATATATATATATATATATACATGTATATTTATATACATGTATATATACATATGTATATATATATGAATGTATGTATATATGCATATACACACATATTTATGTATGAATACAAACATATACACATGTTTTTATACATGTACACATGTGTGTATATATAGAAATATAAATATATGAATATATATATATATATATATATATATATATATATATATATATATATATATATATATACATGTATATTTATATACATGTATATATACATATGTATATATATATGAATGTATGTATATATGCATATACACACATATTTATGTATGAATACAAACATATACACATGTATTTATACATGTACACACGTGTGTGTGTGTATATATATATATATATATATATATATATATATATATATATATATATATATATATATATATATATATATATATATTACTGTTACCCACAGTATCAGGAATTAGCTAAATGCTAATATTTATAATATTATATTGCGACTTAAAGTTTCATGTGTTACCACAATCATCAGGCAAGTAGTCAAAAGTTAATTTTGCTACAACTTGATTTAGCTAATTCCTGATACTGCGGGTAACAGTAATATATATACTATATAGCTCTAGTTTATCTATTGAGCACTCTTTAAAATATACATTATTATACATGATAATATAAAGAAATCATCTTTAATATTTACATATATGCACCCACGTATATATATATATATATACATATATATATATATATATATATATATATATATATATATATATATACATATATATATATATATATACATATATATATATATATATATATATATATATATATATATATATATATATATATATATATATATATATATATATATATATATATATATATATATATGTATATATATATATATAAATATATATATATATATTTTAACCTTCTATGTATGAAGCTCCCTCACATTATCCACAGGCTATTCAATTATGATGTGTTATTTTCATGCTAAATCAGCATTTATTTGCAACATTTGAAAAAAATAGGTGTTAAAAGATTTTAAGAAATAAAGTTACAGTAAAAAAATGTGGCTTAGCTGAATTAGGAGTCATACCATATTGAATTTTGGTAGGTGGAATAAGAGATAATAGAGTAGCCATGAGCTAATGTATTTTTTGAAAAGAATAAGAGTCATAACCTTGTAACATTGTGACAAAGCTTCCTTGAAAGCAGGGCAAACTACATTTATAATGCAGTTTTGCTTCTTATCCAGAGGAGAAAAGGCATGGTTATAAAGTCTAGTTTCAATCTAACAACAGTGCAGGGTTCGTACTGTACCTGGAAAACCTGGAAAATCAGCCAAATTTGGATAAAGTCATGGAAAACCTGGAAAAGTCAGGGAAATTTTTTTTTTTTGTAGGTAGTCAGGGAAAAGTCAGGGAATTCTGAGAAACTACTCGTTTTACAAATAAGCTATTATGTTTCTGTTGGTGCTTCCCATTTATTTTGACAATTAAAAAATACCCTATAGTGTTTCACACCTTTACCACACATATATTTTATTTTTAAAAATTTGACCACGGCTTTTTAACTTTTTTAAAACTTGAATATTTTTAAATGTATTTTAATAGGCAAAACGCTCTTATTACTAACAATTGTTTTAAAATATTAATCAATAAAAATATTTTATTTAAATTGTCTATGGTTATTATTTTATTTTTACAATAATAGTGTATGTTTCTTTTTTTTATTTATTAAAAAAAAATAATTCCTTTTTTTTATTTATTATAAAAAAACTAATTTTTTATGATCAATTTCAATCGTTTAAAACTATTTCTGTAATTTATTCTATAAACAACAGCATCTTTAACTTTAAACATTTTTGTGTCTTTAAAGCGAAAAACTTCTTTTTTTATTTTAAGTTACATAAGTTACAGAAAGTTTCAAAGATTTTCAACTTAGTTGAAAACTTTTAAAAGTTTTTATTAAAAAAGTAATGGTTTCTATAAGCATTACAATGACTATTAGATTAAAATCCTTGTGAAAATGAATTTTGAAAATTAAAAAAAGGTTTTTAAAGTTAATACAATGAAATTTGTTACAGTGCCCTATGTTATAAATACAAATCATTTTGAAATATTTTGTTTCCATTTTTAGAATTAAAATAATGAATAAAATAGAAAAAAAAGCTTATTTTAAAGAAGAATGGTTAAATAAAGACATTTACCCTCATTTTGACTCTTGGCTAATGAAAGGAAAAAATAACACCCAGGCAAGATGCAAATTATGCAATAAAATAATTGAACTTTCAAACATGGGTATTCAAGCAATAAAAAGTCACGAGAAAGGAAAAAAACATATTTGAGTTGCAAGCAATTTCTCTTGTTTTTTTAAATCATCTGGCTCTAAAAATACTAATTCACCTAATTCAGTAGAAGAGTCTAATTTAAAGACAACTGATAGTTTCTCAACAGGACAAATGAAGCAGCAATCTTTAGAACTCATCGTATCAAATTCTAATAAAATCTGTGCAGAAATTATGTGGGCATTGCATTGTTGCTTAAATAGAATTTCTAACAATTCAAACAAAAATGTGACAAATTTGTTTCAAGCAATGTTTCCTGACAGTGAGATTGCTAAATCTTTACAAATGGGACCAAATAAAGTCGGATATAGCATCACTCATGGTCTTGGGCCTTATTTTAAAGGTTTACTTAAACAACAAATGAGCCTGTCTCCTTGGCTTGTCGTATCCTTTGATGAATCCCTCAACAAAAAAACTCAAACTTGTCAAATGGATTTACTCATCCGGTATTGGAATGAGGAAAAAATGCAAGTTGAAGCGAGGTATTGGGATTCCTCATTTATGGGACATAGTACTAGTCTTGATTTGGTAAATCATTTTAATGAAAAGATAAGTGATATTAATATCAGCAAAATTGTTCAGGTCTCTATGGATGGACCCAGTGTCAACTTGAAATTTCACAGAGACATTCAAAGCAAACGTGAAGAGCACGATTTATCTAAACTTATTGACATAGGCTGCTGTTCCCTACACATAATTCATGGTGCTTTCAAAACAGGAGTATAATCAACTGATTGGGAACTTAAAAAGACATTTAAAAGTTGCTTTACCTTATTTCAACCAGATGGGTTGAAGACAAAAAGGTAGCGGATAGATTAATTAGTATTTGGCCATCTATTATAAAAATTGTTAATTATTGGGAGTCTCTGCCTAAAAGTAAACAACCATCTTGCAAATCATATAAGTTTGTTGTAAATGTTGTTAAAAAAGAACTTTCTCTTGTAAAATTCCAGTTTTTTGGCTACCTGGCGAGCATGTTTGAACCGTTTCTGAAGCTCTATCAGACAGATGCTTCAATGTTGCCTCACATGAATGGTGATCTTGTGCAGTTGATTAAGAGTATTCTTAGGATGTTTATTAAATCTGAAACTATTGAGGCTACCTCAAAACTTACCAAAATTGATCTGCAAAATAAAGAGAACCATTTCAAAACCCAGTGAAATTGATATTGGGTTTGCTGCTGAATTATCACTGTCAAAGCTCAGAAAAAATGATGCAGTTATTTTGAAGGATATGAAAGAATTTAAAATTCAATGCATGCACATTTTAATTTCAGCTGCTGAAAAGTTATTTAAAAGATGTCCCCTTGATTCTGTGATTGTTAACACGAGTACTTGTTTGCTTCCAAATTTTTATGCTCAGATCACACCTGAAAAAAATAGTAATCAAATGAAAATATTGCTGCATCATCTTATTTCACTTGGAATATTAACTGCTTCTTATTCTGACAAAGTTATTAGCCAGTTCTCAATGTTTATTTCATCAGAATTTGCTCTGAATCAGGATGTTTTCATTAGTTATGATCGAAATAATAAACGTCTTGATGATTTTTACTTCAAAAACATTGACATAAAAAAGTATCCAGAGTTGTCATCTGTCATTAAGTTGGTTTTGACTCTGAGTCAGATGGTATTGTTGGACGGCGTCTTATGCGTGATTTCATGCTTACCAACAACCTCAACCCCCACTCTGTCCAGATTACATCAAAAATAAAAGTTGCCTTTAAATCTGCTCATCAAAAATACCAGATCATGCTTGAGGAAAAGAAGTCAAAGAATAAAAAACATGCTACGTTAGATCAGAAAGCCATTATTTTGTCTGAAATTGAAGAGCTAAAATCTAAAATGGGTTTCCTTACAAAAACTTCATTGATGCTAGAGAAAGAGTTTGTCTTAACTGTGGAACTAGCGGAAAAAGAAAACAATTTATCATTGGTCAGCAAAGCGAATGCTTTAAAAAGGAAAAGCGAGGAGAAAATGAAAGACGTAGCTAAGTTGCAGGAAACATTGATATTAGAAGAGAAGAGAAAGAAACTGAATTAACAATAGTTGCTTTTTGACAATTTGTTTGTTTATATAAAATATTATTTATGTTGACATTTATGCAAATATGGCTAATTAAAAAACTTTAATTATATTTTCAATATAAGATTTTGTTAAAAAATATATGCAATTTAAAATTAATTAAAAGTTTTTTTTTTAATGTTTCTAAGCATGTTTTGTTATTAGTGCTATTTTTATCTATAGGTATTATTGAATTAGCGAAAGTACAGCTACAAATAGTGATAAAAAACAACTAACCCAATGTAGTCTCTGTTATAGACCAAATATTGCTCAAAATGTTGAAAGATATCTACATAGACATTTTAGTTTATTTTTGTGTTAGTGAAAAATAATTATATATAAAATATTTTATGTGCAAAATATTTAGATTTTCTTGAAGATCATCTGAAACTAAATTTTATGTGCATAATATTTAGATTTTTTAAGAAGCTCACCTGTTGTTTCTTCTTAGTCATCCTTAATAATATGCATAATAAAATCTATACTAACATCCAACTTAACTAATAGCTAAGTTTTATAAGTTTTGTCATTCTAAGCATGCACATTTTAGCATTTTCATTACAGTAGTAATTTTTAACATTTTATAAAAACCATTGCAAATGTTAAAAATGGTCAGGGAAATTCATCTGATTTTTCAAAAAAGTCAGGGAAAAGTCAGGGAAATTTTTATAAATATGTGGCTACGAACCCTGCAGTGTCTTTCTTATTTGCTAATAATGCTTCTTTAAAGGTATGATTTTTAGGAAAAGCTTTTTTATGATGTCATACTGAATTTATGGATAAAATGTTTATGGATAGTAGACATTATATTTGTATATATTGTTTAATAATTTTTTTTTTTCATTAAAAGAGAAATGGTTATATAATTTTCAAATTATTTTATTTTGAAAGAACTTGAGAAATGTCATCATAGTCATATGAATCCAATAAAATATTTAATTATGGGAGCTATTCATAGCAAACTTTGTGAGAGAGCAAAGGCTTTAATGGTAAATCATGTAGTTTGTATGCATTTTAATTCTGCTAATGTTTCGGTTTGTTTTTTTAATATTTATGTTATTACTCTTATTACTACTGTAGTTTCTTGAGCAAGCGAGTGTACAATGCAAGACTAAACCAACAGATGCCCATGTGATTCCCTTTGCCATGTATGAAATGGCACTAATTTATGCTAAGGATGAAAAAGTAAAATATTTTATTTGTCACCCTTTTTTAATTATTTTGTTTTTGTGATATGTTGGTTTTTACCAGTGTAAACAATACTGTCTATAATTATGTTTAAATTAATATTGCTAAAAATTACAAAACACTTTTTTAGACATGGCAGCTAAGTAAACATTTTTTTTAGACATGGCAGCTAAGTAAACATTTTTTTTAGACATGGTAGATAAGTAAACATTTTTTTTAGACATGGCAGCTAAGCAAAGAAATGCTATGCAAAGTAAAGGTAAAAATAGCAATTTTTAAATAATGATTGATATATTATACGTTACATATTTTGTATATATATATATATGTGTGTGTGTGTGTTTGTGTGTGTTTTATATATATATATATATATTTTATATATATATATATATATATATATATATATATATATATATATATATATATATATATATATGTATACATATATATATATATATAAATATATATATATATATATATAAATATATATATATATATATATATATATTTATATATATATATCTGTGTGTGTATATTATTGTGTGTGTTTTTGTGTATGTGTGCTAATACTTCACTTTTAATGCATTTTAGTATTAAAAATTGTGTATTTGACTGATTAAGTTTATTGATGGTTTGAAAAGCAAAAGTAATTTTTGTTAAAAAGTTTTACTAATTAATACTTTGCAATTTAGCCATTTGAGCACATACAAAAAATATTAGAGAAAGAATGTTTAATAGAAGATCGAAGACACTGTAATTATAGAGGAATAGTTATAATTAAAGGGAAATAGCAAATTTTTACGTCTAGAAAAAATGAATTTTAGAAAAAGCAGTATTAACTATATTTTTTAATTGTAATCAGCAGCCCTCGTAATTAGGGCCGGCATTCGGCAATGCCGACTTAAAAGTGTTTGATGTCAGCAAAAAATCGCCGACTTCGTTTTTATGTTTTGTGGTAAAGTTTTTTTGCTTACCCTTTGTGCCAAATTTTTTTATGCCAGCCTGATGCCGACCTCTCACAGTTTGAGATCGGCAACTTATTGCCGACCTAATTCTGAGGTTTGAATCAGTGAATACTGATGAACATTAGATTCAAAACAAGTATACTTACCATAACAAAGTATATATATTAAAATTTCTGAAAAATAAAATCAATATAAAATAATGAGAAAATAAAAAATATATTATACGTTATACTTCTCAGAATCTTATTATTACCTGTATTTTGAAGTTATTACTTATTAATAGAGTCGGCATCAATAATTTGCTAAACATGTCAAATAAATGGCAGTTATAATTATGCTTTATCTGGTTGTTTATGTCCGCTCATTTAGTTAGGACTTTACTTCAAACATCTTAACACCAATCACGTAAAAATTTGTATTATATTTTCTTAAATATTGTATTGGAATAAATTAAATGAATAATTGAGGACGCGTGTATATTATCTTTAACTTATTCTTTTTTTTTTATTGAGAAGTTGCTAATTTTTTAGTTTTAACTTAAAAATTAAGTTTTTTTCATTTATAGTTTCAATTTATAATAGGTTTTATTAAGGTTTGTTTTAATTCATATAAGGTTTATTACAGTTTATACGAACCTCTCTCTCTTGTTTCTGCATATTGGTGTACTGTCTTAGTGTTTCAGTTTTTATGTCACCTCTCACTTGTTTCTGCATATCTGTCTTTGTGTTACAGTTTAGCACTTTCTAAGCTTTTAGAGTGAGTTCCAGGTTGGTGCAAAATACTTAGTCCATCAACTGATATGTACAATCTACATTGCTGTATTTACTAATACTTGTTTGTTGTTAATTTTTTTTTTTAATAACATTAGCATGTTTATTGCATCATCATTAGAACACCACGATCTCTACCATCAGCAATTTTAATATTTGATGAAAATTACTTTTTTTATAGATATTTTAAATCAATTTATTGTTGGTCTATTCGTTGATAAGCAAAAATTATACGTTTCGTTTCCTGTTTATAATATAAATAAGTCTGGATGCATTGTATGGTTTCAGTATCTAATATTGTTAGTAATAATTTCGATATTGTAATACTTAGCCATTTTTGTTGTTAGTCTAGAGGTTGGTTGTGTATGATTTATTTAGTAAAAAATTGTGTTGACGTTTAATATTAGGTTTTCAGCTTATGGTGAGAGTTTCTGCAATCTTTTACCATCTTTTACTAACTTTAAGTAACTTGCGTGTAATAAAGGTTAGACCCAACTCTGTTCGGCTCTGTCACGTTAATAATTTTTCCAAAATGAAGTGGATATTGAAAACTAAGTATTATAAGAAAAATAAGTATTATAGAATACACACCATCAAAGCTACCAATACACACCATCAAAACTAGTGATTATCAACACTATTTATTCTACTCGTCACTGATTAACGGCTGATAATTTTACTATATTTAATTTGATTATCGAATAATAACAATAAGTTAATGTATACCTAGTCAAAGTATAGAACACATTTATATATTATAATTACAGAGAATTTATAGTTTATAATTTTACTTTTAGCAATAATGTTGTGTAAAATAACTATTTTAGAAATTCTTATAAATTAATTTTAAATACGATTGATTGTTGTGGCGCTATAATTTATTTCAGATTATCTAATATTTTTGGCACTGAGTGACAAACAACATTTTTTGTTTGCGAATAATTGCGTAATTGTTTATGTATGTTGGTGATTTTTTATGTATACTTTGCGTTTGTTAATATGTTTATTGTTTATAGTAAATAACTGTTTATGTATGTTGTAATTTTTCGTTTAAGGATACCTTTAAAAATTATGACTTTGAGAATAGACTTTTATTTCGCATTCATGCTGTATTAAACAGCTTAGAAGATAAGGAAACGATCAGACTTGGTCAACTTAAACTTACCTCGCCGAATTTTGAAGGAATATGATTCTTTTACAAACCATTTAGTTTTATTTAATATATTATACCATTTATTACTATGTTATATAGTAAAAAAATTGATCATTTTGAGCGTTGTTATGTTAAAATAGCATTTTTATGTTAAAATTTATTTATTATAGCTAGATTCGCTTTTTTTTTTAATACGTTATATGAAATATTTTATATATCATGTATTACGATATGCAATATTTCATATATCAAACCCTCAACCAAACTAATTAGTATTTATTAGAGTTATGACATTTTTGTATTCTCGGTTAACTGCATAAAAAATAGGACAACTTTGATTTGAAAGAAAAAATTATTTAGTTTTAGCTATTTTTTGCGGGGTCCCATATATCACTCCATTTTTTTTTTCGATAAAAGTAAGCGAGCTGAGCCGCTTTAATTACTATATATATATATATATATATATATATATATATATATATATAATATATATATATATATATATATATATATATATATATATATATATATATATATATATATATATAGCTTTAAATCTCAGCTAAAAATTATTTTTCCAAAAAAAATTTTCGCTAAGTATAAATGACTAAGTTTTCGCTAAGTATGAATGACTTCGTTTAAATCCAGACTTGATGCGGTTTTGTTTTCAATTGCTATTAGCGATAAATGTCGGAGTCAAGTTTGGCCCATCTTATTTCTTGAATAATTTTTTATTATTTTTAATTTGCTAAATGACTTTTATTATAGAAATAAAATAGAGACTTCATTTTAAATTTTATTGATTTTATTTTTTTAATATTCATATTTTTTTTACCGATTTCTACTTTTCTCTTGAAACACTTATGAATATATTAAAAACGCCATTTTAAAGCGATTAACGCAATTTTCTTACACAGATTTCTGGTAAGGATTCGAGAAACCCCTGAGCTTGATGGCCCCGGGGCTCTGCCCCGCGTAGCCTCTAAGTAGCTACGCCACTGTCTTGAACTATTGCTAATTTGCTTTACTTATAAAAAGTTTATATTTTTCAGACAGTATTTTTATCCGCTTTTAGAATCTGGTTTTTTAAAAATTATCTTGAATTGAACTTTTTGAAAAGTATTAATTTGAGTAAAATTCCTTTTGTGGGCATATCAGTTATGTAAATAACAACAGGTTTTTTTATATTTGACTATATTACTACTGTTTATATTAGTAATAAATTCAAAGAAATTATTATATTTCGATTGTTAATAGTGTTTAATGTAAATAACAATAGTAAGAAATAATGAGAAAGATCAATCGTCCAAAATGAGATGAAATGCAGTTTTAGCTGAGAGTAAAAAGGAACTTAGAACTAGAAAAGCTGCTGATACATATCGCGACCTTAGAATTATCTTATTCTAACGTCTATCTCCACATTTTTTAGTTTTAAGATAAAACGATTTAAAAAACAAAAACTTTAGGAGACGGGGTATACATTTTTTTTTATAACATGTTTTTTCCGCAACTTTTTTACTTATAACTTAGATTTCATTTCAGTAGAAAGACATTATTTTGAGGAACACAACACTATCATTAACTCAATTTTTTCAGAAAGTGGAGATTGAACAAGATAATTCTAACGTCGCGATATGACATATTTAGATTTTCTCTACATTGGCATATTCCTAATAAATACTGACTTAAATGAAAGATCAAAAACATGAAATGAAGAAAGTTCAATAACATCAAATACTGATTTGACAATATCAACACTAAGTTTATCAAAACTTTCACTTTTTTTACTTTTGAGAATGTTTTAATTAGTTTTAAAATTAGTTTCGTCCGAAAGTTTATCATAAGTTTTTTAATAAGAATCAAATGGATTGGAATTAAGATGAATTTTAGCAGCCAAATTTGGACCAATATTAACAGAGTAGTTTTTTTGTTCTTTAGCCATAATCAATTATTATTTCGTCTTTATAATCAAATTTTTAAAGATTCTTTATATATAATTTTTCTTTCTTTTTTAAAAGAATTTCGACATCCAGAGACTTTGAAGTGACTTGGTATTTATGATCAGGACCTTCGAGGGAGGGGCAAAGGGGGTAAAATGACCAGGGCGCTAATGTTGAAGAGGCGCCAATTGATCGGGTGGTTTTTTGTTTTGTTTTGTTTTTTTAAAATAAATTGAAATTATTTTAATGGCTAACAATGCGAAGTCTGCTTAATTTTTTTATTTGAGATTAAAACTTTAGCATTCGGAATAAAAATGCGCATGAAAAAATAATTTAAAGTTCAATTTATGTTATTATAATTTGAACTTTAAATTTATATTAAAAAGTATTTTTTACGAAAAAAATAGGATTTAGTTGTAGTAGAATTAGACGGAAGCGGGTGTAATCCGTAAGCTTATGAACAGTTAGTAATGCTTACTCAAGCTCGATTGTACGGAAGATGGAGTACTGTGGTAATTATAATGGTAACTGATAAAATTTTGGTTTAAAGCAGTCGACCCTAATAGCACTGACATCCTCGTTATGTAGTTTGTTTCATAGGTTCGCTTCAACTTCTTCAACAACGCAGTTGTTGAAAAAGATAAAATCGCATTTGTTATCGATTACACTATAAAAGCTCTACTTTTCAAGTATTATTTGACTGTTAAAGCAAAAGAGCGAATCATAGCGTTTTATTTTTTAGACAAATAAGCGGCTTTGCCACTAGGACCTGGGCAGTTACCAAATATTTGAGTTCTTGCATCTTTACTGAACTCTATGTATGTAATTTACTGCACTTAATATGTGCGATTCAAAACACTAAGAATCAGTGGGGAACTCAAACAATTCCCTTAAAGCTGAGCCAAATTAATTTTAAAGTGAACCATCAGAATCAGAAGGAGGAACTTTATCTAAGAGTGGAGAATGTGATTTTCAATCAGATTCGGTAATGATTAATTCTAACCCCTCTTTGTGGCCAGTTGTTTTGAGTCAAAAAGATCAAGATGTAGCTTTTTTTAAAAAAGACCCCCAGCACGACAGCAGTATTCAAAAGTAGGTAACTGTTGATTCTTTGTGAGAGGAGCTAGGGATCAATGGAGGAAACTCATTAATCGTGTAAAGAAGCATCATTCCAGCCCACTGCATCAAAAGATCTACATCGATTGGAAAAAGCCATACATTCGTCTTACCAGCTCCACTGGTATATATTTAGAGATCTAGGAGTGAATAAATTCTAAAGCAGCTAAATGGCGGACAATTCTTCGTGGAATTTCGGATGTGACTGTTTTCCTGGCTTCTAGGAGTTAAGGTTTTCTAGGTTACTCGTTATAAGGTTTTTTCAATATCAATTTTAATTACTTATATAATTATTGTAATAATCTAACTATAATTATTTTATACAACTATGTTTACAGGTGAATAAACACACGTAAATGGGAAAGAAAAGGGAAACCTTCTTGCTGGTATGGAGCTTATTGGTTGCCACAACCCCGTCATTGCATATCACTTGGTAAATGTAAGACACTATCACCAAGAGAACTCCAGAATGAGTGTCCAATAAAAAACTTGAAAAAAAAAACGTAAACTCGTATGAAACAAATATTTAATAAGATTTTTTTACTTTGAAATGCTTGTATGTTATGAAAAAAGCAGACATTTTAATAAACAATTGTAAGGCATTGTTGCAAAACTGATAAAGTTTCATATAAGTGTTTCCAGTGTTACATGCAAGTGTTTCCAGTGTTTTCATACAAGTGTTTTCATATAAGTGTGTCCACCTGAATCTTTTAGTTAGAGCTAATATAAAAAAGATTTAGTTAATGGCACTAACACTTTAAATACACATGGATACACATAAGAGAGATAATGAATACACATAAGAGAGATAATGAGTGATAAGTTATGTCAGACTTTGAATAAATTGACTTGTTGCTATTATACTTTGGATGAGATTTGTGACAAAAGGAAACTTATATCATGGACTTTAATTTCGTTGCCTACAAATGTAGAACTTGATGAGTAATTATCAGAACGTCTTAACGGTAAATCAAAAATGCTAACAAAGGCTTCAACAACGTTTTACCAACGCGAAAAATACTTTAGTTACAAATGATAAATCAGAGTCTCAATTCGCAATTTGATTCGCTAATATTGTAAACAATGTAATGATAGAGCTTGCAATAAAAGGAGGTTTATGAAGAAAAAAAAATATGTTACATAATAAATTAAAAAAAAAAATAAATATGCTACGTAAAAAGTCTAAAAGTTGTTGTTGAACTCAAACATAAGAGTATTGATAAGGCTAAAAAATGCGTAAACAAATGAGATCAATGAAAAAAAAGTGTTCCAGCCAAAGAGAAAAGATATTGCTCAAGTTTCTTGGGGCTTTTAAGTTAATCTAGTTTTTTCATATTGTTCAACTTTTTTTATAACTTTTCGATTTTTTCTTTTTTTACTTCAAAACCTAGAAAAGCTTTTAGCTTGAATCTTTTAGTTTCTTAATAATAAATATTTAAAAATCACAAAAATAATTAACATTGAGAAACAATAATTAACTAAAAATAGTTTTTAAACATTTTATAGCACAAAACGTATTTTTTTTATTTTTAGATGTCGAATTTTATTTTTTTTTTAAATATTGCGTCCCGGCTTAAATTTTGAAACTATTTTTATAGTTTTTGTTTTCATAGAAATGAAAAATAATAAATTTAACAAATCTACAATCAACAAAATATAGAGTTTCAACAATCTTTTGGAATCTTTTCTGATTTTGTTACTTTTAACTTATCAACTAAAACTCAGAGGAAATATATAGAAAAATTTTAGGCAGTAATAAAAAGCATAAACTTTAGAAACTTTTCCAAATTGAAAAATAATATATAAACACTTCGGTTATTTACACGAATGCATTTATGGCAATAAGATATCCGATGGTGTTCGAATAGCAAAAACAAGAGACAAATGTAAAAACCAAAACACAACGAAATTACTGGAAAGTTTAACTGAAAGAAATTTGAATACAATGGAACTACCAGTGAATGAAAATTGAACGCAACTAAACTACCAAAAAGTATAAATGAAAGAAATTTAAACGCAATGGAACTACCAAGAAATACGAGTGAATGAAATTTGAACGAAAATAAAAGTATAAATGTTTTTGTTTAAGTTTCTTTCAATTATACTTTTTGATTGGAACAATCAAAAAAAAGTATAAATGAAAGAAACTAAAACAAAAAGGAACTACCAAAAAGTATAAGTGAATAAAATTTAACACAAATAAATTACAAAATAAACAAATAAATATATGAAAACAACAAAAATACTGAAAAATATAAGTGAATGAAATTTAACAAAAAGGAGTTATAAAAAAGTTAAAGTTAAGCAGAGTAAATATATTATGAAAAAATATTACTTCCTTTTCAAATATCTTCATTTTTTACCATACTAAACTTGTTTTCGGAATAACCTATATATAACTGAATTAATCTTTATATAACCGGATTAATTACTATATAACCGGATTACTCTATAACTTTCTAAAACTCTTAGATTGACGTTAAGAGAACGCATTTTACCAAACTATTTGACCGACAAAATTTCAAAACACTTTTGACATATCAAACATTTAGTTTGAGTTATTATTTATTCTCCAACGTACCAATAGAAAACAAAATTAACCTTCGTCATCATAATCTTCTATAAATAGCGAAAACATTTGAAAAAAAAAAATTCTTTCTTTGTCGTTTTTACAAGTTTCAATCAGCCCATAAAAATTTCAATATTTTTTCTTTTCTTTTCTGAAGTCTCATATACTTTTCAGCAGTATAGATTCTAAGAAATGTAAGTTCGCATTATAGAATTTCTTTTCTTTAGTTTTTGATAGCAGATTAACTTGTGCAGAGGCAAAAAAAGTCGTCTTCTGCAGAATGAGATTAATGCAATATTTAGATGAAACTACTTCAGCTTGTTTTAAAATTCAATTAACGAACTTTGATAGCTAACAATGGGCCAAGCTGGTCAAGCTTTTTCATGATGCAAGCGATTCTTAATGCTTCTCATTAGTATAAAAGTAAGAAAACATAAAAAGATATGATCCCACTTACTAAGTAGTGATTTTTTTTGAACAATATCTACTAAAAACTGCAAACAACTAGAAACTAATAGAAGGCTGTCAAACTATAGTTTATCTTAAAGTTTAATATCTAACTGCATAGAAATAAACTTACACGTTTCAATAATAAAATTGACTTTTAAAAATAAATAAAAAATTGTGAAAATTATTAGAATTAAAATATTTATTCAGATTATATTACATATATTATTTACAATGCGTTTTAAATATAAAATATGAATAAATATAAAAAATATTTAAAGAAAAAAAATACAAAAATCCCATCACCTAACATATCACAACATATAATGACAAAAGACACAACGCAACAGAAAAAAAATTTGGATTGAATAACTGCTTACAAGCAGAAAAACAAACAATTAGAAAGGACCGGCCTCCCTTCTGTTTTATGTTTTTCTTTTTAAGAAGTATTCGCCAAACTTAAATATTTTTTAATAACTTTTGATAACCATCATTAAGTATGAAAAAATATAAAAATATTTTCTTTAGATAAAAAATCTGGCGCTGTAATCATATATATATATGTATGTGTGTGTGTGTTTATATATATATATATATATATATATATATATATATATATATATATATATATATATATATATATATATATATATATATATATATATATATATATATATATATATATATATATATATATATATATATATATATATTTAAAATGATAAATTTATGAAAGAGGCACACCAAGGTGTTGATGAAACTGTTTCTAAAAATATAGGATAAATGTATTAAATTAATGCTTTTTTATTTATATATTAAAAAATAAAATACAAAGCTATGTAAAAAATATTTTTAACCAATTTTGTTTATTTAGTTTTATTTACACACACATATATATACAAATAATTTACATATATAATAATATTCTACTTACAACTTCAGGATCAGACGGTACTCTGGATAGAAAATCAAGAAATTCATTGTTAGCTATAGCATGAGGTTTTCTAATTTTTTTTGTAAATTTATTTATACCCCATAATAGTAAAAGGTAGCGAAGAGGAACTATATAAAGAACAATAGTAGCTAACAGCAAAATAACCATCAATAAATAAGACAAGAATGGAACCGTCCAAGCAAACGTACTGTAAAGTAAGAACATTTAGATATAATGACGTAATTGATATAATGAAAAAAATAAAAAAAGAAATTTGCTAACTTTTTAATTCTTTCTCCAAATGATGCGATATTGTTGAGATGGTTTTGTACTAAAGTGCAAATATGGTTTATTGCTTCCCACTTTTCTCGAAATGTTTTAGACTTTCCCTAAAAAAAAAATCAATAAAAAAAAGTTGGAAATATATGGATAATAACATTATTTATTAAAACCAGAAGTTAAACCCTGTTATTGATATAATACCTTTTTGGATTTATCTTCGTTTTCTTCATCATCATCGTCGTCATCGTCATTATCACCTTTAAATTCCTTAAATTAATTTTTTTTTTTAATTATTAGTTGACTTCTTATTTATTGAAAGATAAACTTAATTGTATTATAGTTATGAAAAAATATGGTAAAAAATTTTTAAATGGCATATTAAATATTATCATGTCAATTTTATTTGATTGCTCACAATATTTTAATATATAATTACTTATATAATAATTTTAATATTTACATACTTAAAATTGATAAACATCTGAGATATGATAAACATATCTCCTAGACTTTCACAACTTACTACAACATAAAGGAAGACACATGTTTAAGGTAACACTTTAAAATAGGTAAAATCCAATTTTTTTTCTTAAGAATTCGTAAAATGAGCTAAAACTTTAAATTTCAAAAAGAAACTTTTTTTACCTAAGAAGTAAAAAGAAGCAACTTTTTTTACCTAAGAAGTAAAAAGAAGCAACTTTTTTTACCTAAGAAGTAAAAAGAAGCAACTTTTTTTACCTAAGAAGTAAAAAGAAGCAACTTTTTTTACCTAAGAAGTAAAAAGAAGCAACTTTTTTTACCTAAGAAGTAAAAAGAAGCAACTTTTTTTACCTAAGAAGTAAAAAGAAGCAACTTTTTTTACCTAAGAAGTAAAAAGAAGCAACTTTTTTTACCTAAGAAGTAAAAAGGAGTCCTTTTGTACCTTAGAGCTTTTTAAATGCAGAAACCGTTTTTTTTTTTTTTTTTCCACAACCTCGCTTTTTACATATTTTAGCTCTGAAATCGTTCAAATACTTTGAATGAAAATAAAATGAAAAAAATTACATCGTAATTCTGATTTGTTGGCGATAGTATTAGTATGATGTAATTCTTTAATAGCGCCAAAAACAAGATTAGCGGCAACATAAACCAATCGAAATTCCAAACAAACAAGATATATATCTAAAAACAAAAACTTATTTTGTAAATGAAATCAAACTTTTTGGTATTTAGTATGTAAAATGTTCTGGCAACACTGATCAATAACAATTACTAACATAAGAAAAAAAAAGCAAAAAAAAAAAAAAAAATACACCGACTTACCAAAAACGCAAACCCACTTCTGAGTTTGTATTTCCATGTAAACAGGCTTTGAATAAATTCACTTGTTGCTATTATACTTTGGATGAGATTTGTGACACGGTTAACATTTTCTTGTAAAAGCTATTTTTTTTAAATGAAATTTTGGTAAAAGTAAATAACTCGTAATAAAACTTTAAAATTTTTTCCGAATAAAAATTTCGGTTTTTGCTGCAATTTTGAATTTTTAAAAAATAAAATTTTTTAGCAACAAGTAATTTAGTTAACAATACCGTTTCAATATCGTAATTACAATAAATACCGTATATATTGAATAAATGCCGTAATTTAATATTATTCACCTGTCTTCGAAATTTTGGAGCTTCTCCAGTCACTTTAACTTCCTTTGGAGTAAATGTTCGCAAACTTGCCCTAATACTGTTGTAAAATATTGTCGCAGTCATAATAAGATTGCCTTTACTGAACGTTTGTAAACGTTTGTCTTTGAGTTGATAAACACACTTTTCACCGGATTTAATCTGTGTAAATACATACATACATACATACATACATACATACATACATACATACATACATACATACATACATACATACATACATACATACATACATACATACATACATGTATGTGTATATATATCAGAATATATATATATATATATATATATATATATATATATATATATATATATATATATATATATATATATATATATATATATATATATATATATATATATATATATATATATATATATTCTGATATTTGAACTTTATGTCGAGAGTATAAATAAACTTGAAATTTTTATTTCGAGAGTAAAAAAAAATAAAAAAGAGAATACTGTAAAACTTTAATGAGGATAAAATTTAAGATTTAAATTAAATGTAAAGTAAAACGCGGACAATTAAAAAAATTTATAGGAATTAAATAAAAAATTAAATAAAAAAATAATTTACAGAAAGAAGTGGAATCTTAACACGACCCAAAAACTCGGGTGGTCCTCTTTTGTCTTCATCAAAGATTGTTATTTCAAGTGCATCGTGTATGTCATAGATTATTCTAAAATCAAATAATACTCGTTATCAAATAAAATAATCATTGTTTAAACTGCATAAAAAAATATTTTATTAAATAAATCCTTACAATTCGTAGACTTTCTCCCATTGAGGATTTAATGTTTTGTAAATAGTTGGAGTAACAAGTCTTTGATTAGCAAGTTCTATGATTGCAAATGGATCACTTGCTCCTCCTAAATCCGCAACAGCTAATCCATTAGCACGATGAATTTTTATCTAAACATTACCAATCCATTAAAAAAAAAAACATTGAAACTACGATAACAAATAAATATGTGTACATTTAAATACATTGATTAATGTTTTTATCAAACTTTAAAGGCATTTTCATTAATGATACCTGCATCCAACCAATTTGTTTGAAGTTTTCCACTGTTTTCCAAAGCGAAAAATTACTTTCTTGTTTTACGATTAAACTCTGATCTTCGTCATAAGTAGTTAAATCCGATATACAACCAGGTACATTTAAACCAGTAATACAAAGATATAAATATAGAACCCCTGGTTGATCCTCTAGGTTTAATTCAATATCATGAGTTTTCTCTGCCGTTAAAGTGGATATGTCAATTTTCCCTCTAAATTAAAAAAGTAAATTTAATAACTATCATTCAAATTTTAAAAACATAGAAACGAACTTAATTGGATTAAATTTAATGCAAATGACATGTAAAATATAAAAGTGAGATACAAGAGGCTTTAAAACTTTCTAGTATTTTGTTAATATTTTTAAACATTATTATCAACTTATATTCTTTACTAAAATCGTTATCTACAGCCCCTTTTTATTTCAAGGTCCGAACATAAAATTAGTCTGAAAAATCAAAAGAATAATTTAACTATTACATTTGTTAAATGAATCAAGAAAATTAAATCGGCGTTGACGCTAATTAAAAAGTCTCGCACATAATTATTCAGCATAATTGTTTCGGATATTGAACTTTTCAACTTATTTTTACTTTTTAGTTAATCTGACTAAGGTATAAATATTTTCTAACCATAAATATAAAAATGATATCTAAGCATATCGAATTACATACCGAATTGCATATCAAATCTATTTTACAGCAAACTTGTAAAACCCTTCCACAATAAAATTTGTTGCAATCATTTTAAGTAGAAATAGAAGTAATATAAAATATATTTTACATTTCTGTCATTTTTACGTTGTTTCTTTTTTTTTTTTCTTATATCATGTGTCAAGAATCTTATCTACATTTTCTACGAGGTCACTATTAAGTACCAATAAAACTTTTTATAGCCGCACCAAGGTTTATCAACATGGGAAAACTGTTCATTCGTAACCAGTTTTCCTGTAATCAAAAACAGCCTGTTTATATAGTTTTTGTAAAAAAAATCAAACCACCCAAAAAGCATGCACCCGCCACTCGAATCATAAAAAATTCTTAGTTTGTTTACGATTTTCTACAATCTTTACTTTCGCATTTCTTTTGAAATACTTTTCTTTATAGTACACAAAAATGTAAACAAATACGATAGAAACAAATGCGATAAAAACTTAAACAAGAAGTCAAAAACAGAAATTTTAAAAAGTTTTTTGCATTTAGTAAAAGTGTACTTTGCCTTTTGTTGAATGGTTTTAATACAAATGTGTTATTTAAGGAATGAAATAATAAACAGCAAATAAAAAATATAGACTTAAATAAATATTGACTTTTATCTATTTACTTTTTTTTTAATTTACTTTTTTATTTATCAGACGCTTAAATATAAAATATATCTTACGTTTTATAGTATTCGCTTCGAAGGTAAAATTTAAATTTATTGTACCTCCCTATAAATACTTCTTTTCCAGATTCTTTATCCCAGACACTTGCTTCCAAACACGAAAATGCGCCAGACATCATTAATTTCATATCAAACTGTTCATTCCAAACCGGGTTATTAGTGTGCTTGCTAACCTAAATAATTTTATACAGCTAAAAAAAAAATATTTAAATAAAAAACCTATTATCATCAGACATTTTCTTACTCTGGATTTGTATTTGTCAACACCAAGTTTAAATCGAACAAAGACGTCACAATAACCTAAACAAAGACGTCACAATAACCTAAACAAAATTTAATATGAGGCGGAATAATTACCTAAAATAATTTAAGAAAAAGAAACGTAATTTACTAACCAGCATGTGTAATTGGTTTCAGATTTTTTCCCTCTCTGAGTGTTACTGAAAGCACTGAGTCGCTAATATTACACTTGCTGTTTGTTTTTGCACCTCTTGTAAGGGGAAGTTGCTAAATAAAAGAATATATATATATATATATATATATATATATATATATGATAGAATAACAATGAAAGTAATGAACAGATGTAAAACAAAATAATATAGTTAAATGTTTTTCAAAACATTTTTGTTTTCAAAGCACGAAGCAGAAATGTTTCTCATAAAATAAAAACGGCTTAATACTTTCGTGAAAAACGAACCTCATTGTATGAAACATTTCTAATATTTTCGGTTACCAAACTCTTAATGCTTTCATAACTAATTTTTTTGTTAGTTTTTGTCTTAACCTTTTTTAACAATGACGAAAACTTTTGGTTCAGGCTTATATCTTGATCACTCAAACTTTTTGTGATTTGTTTAGAATTTTCTGCGTTGAATATCAAACTTTGATCATCATCAGAAGTCAGCTGAGAAACTGAAATATTATCCTCACTCGTTTGTTGAAAAACTTCAGAAAGATGTTTATTATCATCAAAAAGGTTTGTGTTTAACTTTTTAGTGTTCTGTTCAGAATAAAATTTTAGCGTTTCAGCAACTTCGTAGTCCGAAACAGATTTTTGTAAATAGAAACCTGCACACCCATTGTTATAATCGTTTGGTCTTTTGTTTAAACTATCATTATGATCTTCATATACTGAAGGAGTACTGAAAGGTTCATTTACACATATTGAAGGGGTATCTATACTCTTTGTTGGTCGACCTTTCCTTTGAAAGATCCTGATTAGTTGATTTGAATAAGTAATAACGCTTCGGCACTCATCTTTATCATCTCTACATTTGTGAAAGTTCATATCTTATATTCACGCAAAGCTTCGTACAGCTTAAATATTATTGTAAATTGTTTGGTAATCGTTTTGTTGGTATTGCTTTGCTTGGTGTTGCTTTAAAAATTATATTCATTTAATAAACTTAATTTTGCACGAAAACGCATAAAATCCAAACAAACAGTTATTTTGGTAAATATCAGGCCTCCTCCATTACATTTTAAATACCCACGAACAAAATGATTGCACAAGTATACAAACAAAACGTTTATAGAAATTAGCGCAAAACAAATTTCTATTACTTTTATTGTTATTTTAAAAATATAAACATAAAAAAGAATAGATTTAAATTATTGAAAAGATATATATATATAAGAACATAATATATATAAAGATATATGTAAGAACTTTATATATATATATATAAATGCTTTAATAGAAATCCACAATACCTTATATAGTTTTTAAAAACAAAATTGTAGCAAATAATGTATTTTTTGTGACAAAATAAGAAAAAAAAAAAATTTTTCGCTTATTATTTTTACTCATTCGCTTTTACTCAGAAGTTAAACAGATAAATTAAAAAAAAAAAAAAAAAAAAAAAAAAAAAAAAAAAAAATTTATTAAAAAGGATTATCATTCTAAAGCATAAGCAACACCTGCATGAAGAAGCCATTCAATTTTTGAACAAAAATCCATGAGTATTCCAGAGGTTTTTGGAAATATTTTATAGTATTCTTTATAAAAAATTTTTGATTATAAAAAATTATTATCCATAAAACATTGATTAATTTAGGCGGTAAAAAATTTAACTTGAAATAAAGATGCCTTGGATGTGCAATAGTAGATTAATATAAATTTAAAAAATAACAATGATTAACAATAAACAAAAAGCTTAAAAAACAGTGCTCTGTTTAAAACCTACTGAATTTTTTAAGATAAGGTTGCATTCAATTCTTAACATAGAAGAAAGTTAGAAAAGTTGTCTTATTCTGTTCAGAAGTCAAATTATCAAAGTTACAAAATTTTATCTTATTTTTAAAAATAAAATTGAATAAAATATATTAACTGAAAAATAACATAACCAATCAAATTAGTGTAACATGAATAAGTTATTTTTCTCCGATAAATCATGAAATCATTTTTTAACTTAATTTAGAGTTTAGAAAATGTTCTACGTATGCAAATATATTATTCTTTAAACGAAAATATTACAATTAACTTTGTTATTTAATTCAAATAAAAAAGAGATTTACAGTGACACAATAAGAATAAATTAAATTAGATTGAATAAAAATTTATTCAAATAGGCAACTTCTAGAAAGTTCTTTATTGTTTAATATTCTTTATTGTTTTTTTTTTAATACTAAAAAACTGTTTGGATTAAAGTCATTTTCAACTATAAGCGTGCAAAAATATATTAAAACATGTATAATATATATATATATATATATATATATATATATATATATATATATATATATATATATATATATATATATATATATATATATATATATATATATATATATATATATATATATATATATAGGGGCGTGTCAAGGGGATGTCTGCTACGTCGTTGGACGTACCCAAAACAATTAAACAAAAATTTTTCAACTTGATTATATTGTTAAAAAAATGTATTAACTACTGTTATAATTGTATGTATATGTATTATTACTACAAGAACATAACTACTGCAAATTATGCACGGTTAATTATCTGAAACGATTGGAAAAAAAATAAAAAAAACCGGAAAACATAGTATTCCTTTTTATAATTTTGTGTTTATCAAAAAAAAAAAATTACAATGATGGGGATTAAACTATATTTTGAGTTGTATAACTTAATTAGAAACTTTAATTGACATACCTTATTTTATTTTGCTATATAGAACTTTATTTTTTAACTATTTTATTTCATTAGTTTAAAAAAAAATTATTATTTTAGTTAAAACGAATTTTAGACTTCTTTTTAACATACACCTTGAGTAAAAATTTTATCAAGTTTTATTGTTTAACTATCATCAGGAGGCAAAATTAATTAGTAACAACAAGTATAAATCAAGTTATATCAATGGATATAACCCCAGTTTTACTACACTAGACTGCGTATCATTTTAATAACTTGCATTTTTAATGATAAATAAGTAGAGAAAAAGTTTCAAATATAAAAAAATAAAATTCGGACTCCCCTTTCAAAATACACCCTGCTTAATTTGTGTTTTATTAAATTTGTGTTTTATTAAACATAAATTATGGCTGTTGATTAGTTCAAAATGTCGCATAGTTTGCGATTTTATAAAGCACTTAAAGAAAAAATTAGTCCGTTGGAGTAAAACATCATTTCTTTTAAAGTTAGACAACTAAATATTATACCATTTGTGTAGAATTTTTGATATCACGATATCTGGATACAAGAAATGAAGAAAGATATCACGATATTATCTGGATACAAGAAATGAAGAAAGATATCACGATATTATCTGGATACAAGAAATGAAGAAAGATATCACAATATTATCTGGATACAAGAAATGAAGAAAGATATCACGATATTATCTGGATACAAGAAATGAAATAAGAGAGTTATTCTTTGTTTTCAATTATTTCTTAAGTTATGAAAGAATTAACGCTTTTTAAGTACTAAAAATTCCAATAAACACATAAAAGAAAAACTTGTTTATTTAGAGTTTTAATAAAAGCTATCACTGATTTTTGGATGTTATGAATTGTGTAATCATGGATACTTTACAAAAGTTTTTTATTCTGTGGTTTTCTTTAAATATCAATTGAATATTTAATTGTGCAACCTCTGCTACTATTTCTTCTACTGAAGTTAATAACAAATTTTGATTTTATTGTTACACTGCATTTAGCAAGACATGTTTTAATATAACTTTTTTAATTACACGATTGTGCAAGTAAGTAATAATGATGTTTATTATAGCTTGAATCTTATTCAAGCTATAAAAAAAATTGGTCTCTAAACTTAGAAATATTGTTAATCTTATTTTCTATTACATTTCAAACTATTTCAAATTGGTTATCATTGTTCCTTTGCTAGACTGTCTGACTTTAACACAATATTCGATAATACAACTTTAGTGTTATAAAGCACCTGTCTTTTAGTTTCTTTGTTCTAATCTTTAGTTTCTTCAAAAAATAATCGCAGAAATTCAGTGTTCTTGTTATACTAGTTGGAACGACCACATATCTTTAAGTGCCTTTTATTTAACCAAAGGCTTTATTATGCTTATTTATTATTGCCAAACCAGAAGCTTTATTAGGTGAATTGGAACTATGGAAATAATAGTTGAATTTCATTTAATTGGCTGAATTAAAAAAAAACTCTAATCTAACAATACTGAAGCATTACAAGCAATAAACCTTTTCTTTACTAAGACGCCTAAATGGTTATAAATGATTAAAAAGAATAAGTTCCAAAGTAAAATATTAAAACGCCCCTGTGTGTGTGTGTATATATATATATATATATATATATATATATATATATATATATATATATATATATATATATATATATATATATATATATATATATATATATATATATATATATATATATATACAGTATTGGACAAAACATTTGCAACCAACATCGAACAATGCTAAAAAATGTTTCTAACTTTACATGTCTTAAAAACGAAACAAACTATACTACCACAGCAGACAGTTTAGGAGTCTGGAGTCATAGCATGCTATGACATGAGCAATCAGTTGACAGGTGACAGCACACAGGCAGAATTTTGTTGACAAGTGCCATTTTGCAGCGGACAAAACCAGTGCAACTTTTTTGGTTTGTTTTGTTTTCTTAAGTCAGGACCGTGTCAACGTCACTGAAGTTTTTTTAATAATTAAAGGAAGTATCCAGAAGTTTCCAGAAGCTTGCAAAAGTTTCCAGAAGAAGCATCTGGAAGCATTCAGAAGCATCCAGAGCTATCCAGAAACATTCAGAAGCATCCAGACGTAGCTTCCAGAAGCATCGAAAAGAAGCATCTAGAAGCATACAGAACAGGTTCACACAGGTTCATTTTACTATATAAGAGACATGTAAACCAAAATGTAATTCAGTCAGTATATGAAAGTTAATCAGTCACTATTATCAAGACAGTTTATCAAAGTGAGTTTTATCAAAGTGTTTTATCGAAAAACATCAATACAAGAAGTAAAATACAACAAGTGTTTTATTACATCAATACAGTCCACATCCAACCAAGACATTGTGTTCCACAGAGCATTATTGTATCACCATATAGTAAATGTAAAACACGGTAAGCCTTGAGAAGCGTGATTATTTATTTTTATCATTTTTATGACTTCAAGTACAAAAATGGCTTCCGACTGTCTTGGATTGGAACTAAGAAAGAAAATTATTGGCGATCACGTAAGTGGAATGTCACAAAAAAGTATTTGTGATAAATATTGTGTGAAAAAATGGACCGTATCAAGACTATGTTCCAAATATCGTTCTACTTGTAGGCAGCAGATAACAAAGGTGGAAGACCGCGTTCCACCACTTCTAGAGAGGATTCTATAATCGTCAGATCCATCAAGAAGGATCCCTGGATATCATCAGTCGAGATAGCCAGATTGTTTTCTCGACACCCTGCAAAGAAACCCCTGATTTCACTAAAGAACCAGAAGAAAAGACTTCTGTTTGCTACATCTCATAGACTGGAATGTGCAGAAATGGCGAACTGTCCTGTTCAGTGATGAATTGAAGTTCAACATCATTGGGAGTGATGGCTTTTGTTGTGTATGTCGATCGACTGGAAAACGCCTCGATTTACGTTACTGCCATAAGACCGTGAAGCATGGTGAAGGCAATGTAATTGTCTGGGGGTGCTTTTCTGCTAACGGTCTAGGTCCAATACATCGAATTGATGAAATAATGGACCGTTTCATGTATAAAAATATCCTGAAAGATGTTATATTACCTCATGCTGAATGGAATATGCCAATAAAATGGGTTTTTCAACAAGACAATGATCCGAAACACACTGCAAAAGTAGTCAAGCAGTGGTTTCAAGACAACCACCTATCAGTGATGGATTGGCCGCCTCAATCTCCGGATCTCAACCCAATCAAGAACCTGTGGGAGATTGTCAAATCCAAAAGGCCTGGGCAGCAATTCCACAAAGTTTCATTAATCACCTGATCGAATCTATGCCTCAAAGATGCAAGGCTGTAATTGACAATAAAGGAATCGCCACGAAATATTGATAGAGAAATACAGTTTGGTCCACATTTTGTGGAGTTGCACTTGTTTTGTCCAGAAGGAAATCAACTTTTGTTAATACTTTTGACCAATTTATTAATCTTTGCACACAAACAATGAACTTTGTGACATATAAAACTTGAAGAACGTTGTCTCCAAACAGTTACATAGTTATTTCTCTAAATTGAAAAAATGCAGCACTTTTATATAAAGAAAATAAATTAGCATCATTTGGTTCCACTTGTTTTGTCCGATACTGTGTGTGTATATATATATATATATATATATATATATATATATATATATATATATATATATATATATATATATATATATATATATATATATATATATATATATATGTATTATTAAATGCATACGAATGACCTCATAAAAAATTATTATTTATTACATGTAAAGGGCTATTACCTTTACATACAATAACCCTTTATTAAAAAATTATCCTACTTCCAGAAATAATAAAGAAATCAATCCTACTGCCCTTAAACACCAGAATAAAGTTCATAACAATTTAAATTGTTTTTTTCTGATATGTATTCAGCTAGACAATAAATTGAAACCTGAAATTAAAAGAGGTTTTTTTTGGTTTGTATGTTGGTGCTTACCAAGAGCATAGTGTATAAGTTGACAGCAATAAAAATTGCTATTTCTATTAGAACCTTATTGAAAGAGTTATCCTTGTGTTTTCCAGAAAAAAGATCATAACCAATATCTGATGCACACTTATCTTGAAATCTTACTTATAAAAACCCTAATAACTTGGCTTAACTAATATTTTCAGGATCACAAATCTTATTCAAAACATCATTTAGTTCTTCAGTTCAATTAAGTTGTTGTTTGCATCCAATTTTATCAAAAGGCTTTTTAGCTAAATCTATATCTTGCCTTCTTTTCTGATAAATTGATATGTCTTCAGATATTCGAAATAAATTTATAAATTTTAAAGATTTTATAATAAGCATCTAAAAAGTTAATGTAATTATTTGGTTAATACAAATTGTATAATTATTATTGTATTTTTTATTATTGTAGAATATATTTAATTATATAAACTTTATTGTATGATTACAGTTATCTAAAACTTTTCAAGCATGATTTCCTTACCAGCCTCAAAGTGCGTGCCAGCATAGCTTATTTTTTTATGTTTGTTTTATTTTAGATGCTGAAATCTTTGCATGGTTTCCTTACCAGCTTTAAAGTGCATGCCATCATGGGTTGTTTTTTTTTAGATGCTGAAATCTTTGACAGCTATTTGAACTAGTGCTTTTTTTGCAAATGTCAATTCATTGGAGCCAAGTGCCTTGGCAATTATTAGTAAATAATCTGTTATATTTGTAGAAATAATTTTTGAATATTCATTTTCATCAGTAATAAAAATTCTGAATAAGTCAAATTCAGTAAGTTTTATTATTATTAAACTAAAAATATAAATACTTTTGTTGATTCATTATCTAAAAACATTTTAAACAAAATGATTTAAACTTAAAACAATATAGTATAATTCAAATATAAACAATTTTATTTGATAAGTAAAATTGTTATTATTTCTATATACACCAGAGCCCACAGTTTTGATTTTAACTCTTGCAACTGGTTAATTGTAAAACAGATATAAATGCTGCAATTTTTTTTATTAATGACTAACTAATTTGATTAAATTTGATTGAAAATAGAATTTTAATTGAAATGCAACGAGGTGGTGAAGGTGTTTGTCAAAAATTAGTCTTAATTCTTTTTTTTAATTTCTAGACATACACTTATATTGAACACATTTTTGTTCATTACTTTATACAAAAAATATTTACTAAATAATGTAAAACTATTTTTATTAACATTTTAAGATATATTTTACAAGAATTTAAACTAAAGTGCTAGGGTCATTCTTTTATGTCTTTTTTTAAAGTACTGAGTTAGTATAATTTAGTTAAAAATCATCTTATTCCTCTTTGTTATAGAAGTTTAAAAACATAGGTTTACTAGTGCCTTACTAGCACCTTTTGAGATTATTTTATTTGACAAAAATTAGTTCAAAGTTCGCTAAATTTTAGTTGTTTTATTAGGTATTACATGTAAGTACAATTTTTGGCAATAATCTATGAAGTTAACATTTCCATTTCCATAACCTGCAGTCTAAGGTTGTTTCTACGTACAATTAACACATTGGCACAGCTTATATAGTGACATTTGTTCTAATATTAAAAAAATATCAAAAATGACTTTAACATACCAATTATACCTATTATATATCTTTTGTAACAAAATTATGTTATTTAAACTACTTTTTTTTAATAAACTAAAAATTATGTATATATAATGATTGTAGGTCTACATAACAGAACTATATTTTGCTCACTTTAATATTTCTTCGGCCAGGTCCAGATGCTTTTTTAGATGTAGAAGAAAATAAAGAATTCAAAAAAAAAAACCTAAACTTTTGCCTGAGTAAATTTCCTTAATATGTAGATACTGTTGGTCTTATTTAATCAATACATGTAAGTCAAATAATACCTCAACTCTTTCTCGTGGAGATTTAGGTATAACAGATAACTTGACTCGTATAAAACCAAGTTGCTCCTCCAATCCATTCAAATTAATTAAAGGCAACTGCATATCATATTCTCTAAAATAAAAACAAAATTGAAAAATCATAGATAAATAAAAATCATAGATGAATAAAAATCAACAACAAATAAAAATAATTTATTACAAACAAAACATATTTACTTTTAAAACACATAAAATTTAAGTAAACTAACAATAAAGGCACAAAAAAAGAGGAGGATTCATAAAAATTATTGCATTATTATAATTTTGAAACAATGACAAAAATTTATTTTGAAAATAAACTTGACATTTTTTAAATTTAGTTACTGATATAAATAATTTTATGATATAACACTTCATAATAAATATCATACAAGCATGCATTCATTTTAATTTATTATATAACTTAATTTACAAAAATTCATGTTTAGCACTTTGAAAGTAACTTGAAACAAGTTATTTGAAAGTAACTTGTAACAAGCTATTTGAAAGGAACTTGTAACAATATGTTTGAAAGTAACTTGTAACAAGAAAATAAAAAGTACACCTGTAAGCATTACAAGCAGTAATGTTTTTATGCAACAGTTTTTTTATCTCTTTTATAAATATATAATAAATATATATAAAAAAATAAATAAAACAAATATATGTATAGCCTTGGTCTTGCCTAATATTATTGTTTTTGTCAATGTTATTATCATTATTGTTATTTTTTAACTTAATACTGTTAATTAAAAATTGTTTAATAAAAATAATATTTTTAAATAACAGTATTAAATTAAAACTTACAACCACTGTTTCACTATTGTTTACTAAGTTAAACTTATAAAAGTTTACCAAGTTAAACTTACAAAAATTTATAAATACATGGTCATATAAATTCATATAAATTCATATTTATATGAATTTATATAATATATATGAATATATTTATATGATTTATATGGTGAATACAAGTCATATAAATTCAAAGTATTTTAACAATGGCATCTCTTATACAACAGTAAAAATATGAATAAATTACAAAAAAAAAATTAAAAAAAAAAGAAACTCTTGCAACTTCCAATAGGACTCTTGATAAAGAAAAGTCTTTCTTAAAAATGTGCAAATGAAAACTAAATTTAGTCTAAAAAAAATTTCCTACAGGTATCTAGAAAACATGATATGTGTTTTTAACTTAACTATCAAAAATGTTTTAAAATTTGTTCGTAAAAAGGGACACAAATGTTTTTTTTTTTAAATGAATCTGTTTTTAAACTTTTAAGTTAACTATCAATACAAGAAAATCAGTTAAGAAAATAGTTCGAAATATCTAAATAAGAATAAACATATATAACAAATTCAAAAAAAACTCTCATCTTTGGGGCAAAAAAAAAAGTTTTTAAAGTGGTCAAAAATCGCAAGAGTTGCAAATTGCGTTATCTGGAAAAACTTTCGGTCTTTAAACTTTTAGTTTTTTTAAAAACCATAAACTCTTTTTAAATTACTAAACTCCGTAGCTTCAATAAAAAACATTTATGGTGATAATATTTCTATTGAATTTAAATTATGATATAAAATTTTATTGTAAAACTATATTTTTTTTATTGTTATTAATGATTATGATTTAAACTTTAATATTTTAATTCATTTAATAAATCATCAGATTGAAATAGAAAAATAAAATACGACAAAGTATGATATAATTATTAAAAAACAACTAATAATCACAACAATCTAAAAGAATTTAGCAGTGATCAAACATTTTAAATAAAAAAAATCATTAAATAAGATAAATTAAATAAATTAAATAATAAGATATAAATAAAATAAATTAAATACTTATAATTCTTTTGCAAATTTTTATACAAAATTAAAGGCATATATTTTGTTTGTAAAAAAATATTTTAATTCATTGTTTGTAATAAATTATTTTTATATCTAAGATTTTTCAATTGTTTTTATTTTAGAGAATATGATATGCAGTTGCCATTAATTAATTTGAATGGATTGGAGGAGCAACTTGGTTTTATATGAGTCAAGTTATCTGTTATACCAAAATCTCCACGAGAAAGAGTTGAGGTATTATTTGACTTACATGCATTGATTAAATAAGACCAGCAGTATTTACATATTAAGGACATTTACTCAGGCAAAAGTTTAGTTTTTTTTTTTTTTTATATATCTTCTTTTTCTTCTACATCTGAGTTTAAAAATATATAAAAACTAATTTAAACTTTTTATAGTTATTTTTAAACAAAACAAACAACTCTAATGAATGATTAAAAATATATCTTTTTTAATGTTATTTTCATTATCAAATAATTTATTTCAAATTTAAAGCATTTAAACATTTAAATAAGCAATTACTTTCTCCTTAAAAAAAACTTTTTATTTATTTATAAACCCTTAAATTACATAGTGTTAAAGAAAAAAATAATGAAAAATGTTTAAGTTTTGATTGTTATTATTTTTGTAGTAGTAAACTTATTTATTTATTTTTTCATTAATTTTTGCAATATGATAAATTGACCATTTAACTAAAGTATTCAAAGTTTTTAATAAACTGTGAATTTAATGACCAGAAATATTTCCAGATATTGCAATTCGCGGTTTAATTTGAGTAGATATAAAAATCTTAATCTTTTTTCACTTTCCTACAAATCCTTGTTTTCACTTTCCTACAAATCCTTGTTTTCACTTTCCTACAAATCCTTGTTTTCACTTTCCTACAAATCCTTGTTTTCACTTTCCTACAAATCCTTGTTTTGTTCTGTACAATCTGAATCCATTTTTTCATGTGGTGTTCTTCTCACCATTACTCGGTTTTTTATTAAATCAACATTTTTCATCACTGAAAAGAATGTTGTGTAAGATGCACATAGAAAAAATTTTATGAGGTAAACACTAGTGATGTGCTGGGTAACCAGTTTAGACCCGGGAACTCGGTAATCCGGCTGTCTTTTTGGGTACCCGGAATAAGCCATTCTGTTAATAACCCGGCACTGGGTACCTTGAAAGCAATTTTCAATAAATAATAACCTTAGGTGCTGTCAATATTTGTTTAAATGGTACTTTAAATTGTATCCAAATAATATAAACAGGATTGCTTTTAGTTTAAACTTCAACTAATAAACTTCTTGATATAAGTCTATGTTATGGAGTCAATAACCACAAAGCCTTATTTACTCAATATAGATGTGTCTTATTTAAAATATTTTCTTAAATATATTTTTGCTAAATAATCAGAACATATTGTAAAAAGGAAACCGATTTATATGGATGTCAGACAGCAAGTTATTCCAAATATTAACAAACCTGAGGAAGAATATTTAAAGGCATTAAGTTTACACGAAACTTAATGCCTTTAAACTTGGGACCACCAAGTTTAAAGGGACTACCAAGTCCCGTGACATGTTGTGTTCATATTAAAGAGAATGTTGAAAAAAAATGTCTGAGCAAATTTTTTTTGATTACAACTAATTAATAAATGTATACGAAGAAAAACAATAATTGTTGTTTTAGTCAAAGCTTGTCTTGTCAATTTTCTGCTGTATTTGGAGTCTTGAACGCGATTTTCCAGGTGCATTATACAGACTTGATAATTTATTCAAGTGCGTTTAATTCATAGGAGTTTTAGTACATGACGCCATAAATTTTTTTATTGTTTGTTTAAAACACCGTTACTATTTTTTACATGCAATTTCCAAATCATATTCATTTTTACTATATTTTAAAGTTCTAAAATGTATTTGTATAAAAATTAAAAACAAAAAGTATTTTATTTGCACAACTTTTTTTAAATAAGGGAAGTTTTACAACCCAACCCATGCCTTCCTGGCATTAACCAGTTTTGCAAACCAGGGTATTCATAACATTATACTAAAATCAATAAATGAAATTTGATTACATGAAATAAAAATTTATATATTTTTTATTAACGAAATCGTTTCTTAAGTTCTACCAGCTTCGCTTTTTTGCATTTCAATTCACAGAGAATACTCAGAGAATACTTGTCAATTGCAGTAGTAATGCGGTAGTGGTGTAGTGGTAGAGCGCTCGCTTCATAAACGAGTGGTTCCGAGTTTGATCCCCACCACGCCCCTGGTAGTACCGCGCTCAACTCGTTTCTCTGCGCAGCGGCCTTGTTCGTCAAGGTTCGTGTTTCGGAGTTATAGAGTTGAGAGAGGGTTATAGCCACAAAATAAGTAGCCTCCTCGTCTGTAGTGGCCTTCTCGGCCTTGAGGAGGTGAAGTAAAAAAAAAAAAAAAAAAAAAAAAATTGCAGCTCTTTTCAAGGCATTACATTTGGATAAGATAGTTATATCATTCTTTTTTTCTGCCTCAAATGCAAAGTTATCAGCATCTTTTTGAAGCTGGATAATAGTTTTTTCCAAAGAGACTTAATATTTATTTCCTGAATTTCTAAAGCAATCTCAATCTCTTTTTCATTCTTCTCCATGCTCAATTTGATTTTAGATTTATGAACAAGTGATTGTTGATATTTTTGACGAGAAGATTTAACAAACGATAACAAATTCTTTGACATTGGAAAACTGTGAGGTTCAAAATTTTTCCGTTTCATATAGACAATATTAATCATTGAGAAATAAGACTTTCCATGTCAAGATTTTCAACAAGAAGCATTTTGTTTTCAGTAAATCCTCACTCAACAGTTGCCTGACCATGAGATAGAACTAAAACAATTTGGGCAACAGACCAAAGGGATTTATAGTTAGGATCTGAACCAATGTACTTCCAGAGAAATGAGTCCAACCGATCTTTAGATTCATCAAATTTTTTGAATAGTTCTGTGTTAACCTTAACAAAATTTGACAAAAATTTTGAATACTTTTGTTTGGTTTTCATTGCGGTTTCAGAAGTCAGTTTTTTCAAACCAACAAGGATTTCAAGCATTTTATCTAATAAAGCTGTTGATAAGGGGTTTAATTAATTGTTGTGAAACAACTTGCATCAAAATGTAAAGAACACACTTGTGAATCATCGGAGATATTATACAACACAATTGCCTTATTTTATAAAGCTGCCTTTTTTGGATCTAAGGGTAATCTATGAAGCGATATATGAGAGCCTAATCTATTATTGTTAGAGCAACCTATAACAGCACAACCTGGCATTGTAATTTTTGTTTAGAAATTTACTCTTTATTATTTTATAACCATGGATTTAAAAATGACAGATGGTGCACATAGTGAATGCGGTCCACTCCACTTAATATATATTGAGTATTTTTCAATTTATGTTGAATTTGCATTCTTATTAAAAAACAACATCGTCAATAACAAATAAAAGTTTGATTTGTATTTATTCTATTTGTCGAATCATCAACTTAACAATAACATTTTCTTGCAATCTTCAAAAATATTTATTAAAATTTTTATAAAATCAAAAATATAAAAATTTTACAAAACAAATTTAATTAAATATATTCTGACATGCAGCTAAATAAGGTAAATTTCAGTTAAAGTGATAACATGACCGCCAACATGGCCTTCAAAGTGGAGGAAATTTCAAAAAGGCTCACTCCCTGATATTAAAAAAAATCTTACAATTCAAGAAAAAAAAATTGGAAGGCTGTCAGCACTGGGGGCCCCTAGCTAGGTGTTGACGGCCATAGATAATACCATAAGAAAAGTTCAGAAATAAAAGTTTCTAATAAAAATTTACAAAACAATACAAAACAACTTTTTATCAATATCTTTATAAAAATTATATATCATATAATAAAATTAAATATTGATAAAATCCAAAAATACATTGAAAAACAATGTATTTTTAACCCATGTGGCTACATGGGTTAAAAATACATTTTTCAATGTGAAGATTTTAAAAAATAAAATAACTAACTACAGTTAGCTATTTTAGTAAAAATTTTAAAGAATTTCTAGAATGTTTTCAATGACGTCAGGTACTAAAACTCCTATAAATTAAAAGCATTTGAATAAATTATCAAGTGTGTATAATGCACATGGAAAATTGTGTCTATTTTAAAGACTTCAAATACTGCAGAAAATGGAGAGGACAAGCTTCGACTAAAACAACAAGATTTATTTTTCTTGGTATACATTTATTAGTTAGTTTTAATTAAAAAAAATTTGCTAAGAAGTTTTTTTTACTTTCTTTTTTTTATGAACAAAACATGTCTCGGAACTTGGTGGTCCTTTTAAGTTTGCATAACTTGAATTTGTGACCTCGGTTAAAATACAGTTGTTTATTAAAAAGAAACTTGATATAATTAGACAAACTTAATTAGCGCAAATTAATCAGCGTTATTTTGTCAAAACAATTTAGCACTAGAGGTTTGACAAGCTTTTATTGCAACTTTTAAAAAGGGGCCTGGTGCCAGGTACCAGAACTTGTACCCGGTTTTTTCTTCCAGGTACCTGGAATCAGAGACTCTGATTCCAGGTACCTAGAAGAAAAACTGGCTTCAACAAATCTCGAATAAACACCAGTTTGTTTTTGCTTTCTGATATTTTTTTGACAGATGTGGTTTTTTGCAAGCAGCTCACTGATTGTAATTGTGATTTTGAAGTCATTCTTTTAACTGTTTGAGTAATAGAAACAACACCATAAGCCATTTTTGACTTAGATGAGTAGAAGATAAATTTCTATTTTTTCACTATGTAAATAACTGAACGCTCATTTCTTTCATTTGAAATGGTGGCTCTTCCAGGACGCATTTTTAATTGTATTGCAGCGTAGAAAATAAGAAATTGAAGGCAAGCAGTCAATTTAATCAGCTAGCACATGGAATTGACATATACTTATTTACATAGTGAAAAAATAGAGTATTTACATAGTGAAAAAATAAAAAATTGTTTTTTTTGAACAGTCAAAATTTTAGTTTTTTTCTTTGATTAAATTTTTATCTTAGCAATAGTTCTTCATAACTGATTTTTATGTATACAAAAATAATTTAATGCTTGAAAAATAACGAATTCGTATTTCTTTTAAAACAACAATTTTAAATAAAATCAATGCATTTTTTTAATGAAAACGCAAATAACTAACAACTAAATTACCGAAAGTTATAAATAACTCTTATGCTTACATATTTTTATTCAATTAAAAAAAAGAAGTTTGACAACATCCAATTAATTTAATTTTGAATTATTAATTTATAAATATCAAAACAATTTTTTAAAAATATTTAAAAAATTTAAACTGAATACTAAGCACTAAAAGAAATCATTTTGTGAAATGCTCTTATAACAATTTCTTATGTTATATAAAACAAAGCTTTTACTAAAAATATATTTTCAAATATATGCTTCAATAAATATATGACCCTTTCATTTATAATGTGCAAACTCTATTGATTATTTTAAATTAATTCAAAGAAATATAATTGCACAATTTTTTTCTTTGCTAATTAAAATCATTTTTAAAAACTGTTAATTATAATTAGTTAACAATAATGTTGTTAACTCTTGTTAAACTGAATACTTAATTTCTGCTAATTTATATATGAGCTGTTTATTTTGAAAGTGGCATAAGTCACATTGCTTTTAAACAAAGATTTTTAAAGGTTTCTGTTTTAACATATATCATTAACTAGCAAAACTTCTTTCCAAAATATCTCAATAATTTTCAACACAATTGGTTTAAATTATTTTACAAATTAGGAGATACATTGTATTACTTGTTATTAATAACTTGATTTTTTTGAATATGCCACTTTCGAAATAAATATAAAAATAAATATATGTGTATAAATCTACAGAAAATCACTTATTGCATTTTTTTTATTTTACATAGGTTTTATCTACAAAAACTCTTCAGAAAATATTCTATTATCTCATTTATATCTCTATATATTACTGAATACTTAATACTAAAAGAACTCATTTTATGAAACATTTTGCTATAACAATTACTTATGTTACATTAATAAAGTTTTACTAAAAATTTTCAAATATATGTTTCTCTGATTACTTGAATAATAAAAAAAAAGTTTGATAATTTTAAACTTATTTTAAAATACTTATTCATTGCAATGATTTCGCAAATGGCAGGAAAAGCTAGGAAAAAACAAATAAAAAGATTGAATAAAAATTTTTTTTTAAATTTAAATAACTTTATGAAATTTTCTTGATTATTTATCAAATCTTGATTTTTTAAATCTCTGATTTTGTTTTTTAACCAGTCAAACATGACTGGCAATTCATTTTGGGAGTTCAAAACAGCAATTTTTTTTTAATATCTAAAAAATTTAAATAAATATTCAAGTTCAAAGCTTTACCGAAAGATGAATGAAATTTTTTATAAATTATAATTTAATAGAAATTAATTATAACTTTTATAAATATTTTTTAATTATGCTTAATACTTATTTAATTTTAACTTACTTATTTAATATGCTTTATTTAGCCTCCCCTTAGCTGAGAAGACCACTTTAGTCAAAAAGGTTACTTTATTGTTGTTACAACCCTCTCTCAACTCTATAACTCCAAAATATGAATCTTGACAAATAAGAGAAACAAGTTGAGCAAGGTATTAGGTATTAAGTTGAGCAGGACTAGGTGGCTTGGAACTTCTCCTTTATGAAGCAAACATTTTAACACTACACTACTACCGCATTTTGGTTATCGATGGTTATCAGAAAGAAAATATAATGCAATTATGATAATCAATTATGATAATCAAATTATGCTTATCAAATTATGCTCATCAATTAACAGTTTTATATTTTAAAAGTCTAACAATCATTAATTATCATTATTGAAACACACTACTAAATATTCAATTTTATTTTTAATTAGTTTATCATTTTGAAATCAGTTTAAAAAAATGTTTAACTTGATTTAAAAATGTGAATTTTATTTTAGTAAAACCAAATAAAGTAAAAGCAAAAAAAGATTTTATTTAGTTTTAGTAATAAACATACAAAAACGTATTACAGCAAAAATCGAAATCAAAACTTTTGTTTTCTAAAAATGATATAAATATATAGTCTTAAAGATTCTTATAATGCCAACATAAGAATTTAAAAAAATAAAATAATAAACTAAAGTTATTAATTCAAATTTTAATTTACAGTTATTTCAAAACATTTAAATATTTATAGTTATTTCAAAACAGACTTTTCTTGTTGTAATTTTTATTTAATTCCAAAGCCGATTAAAAAAAAAAACTGGTTTGTTAATAATGGCATTTTAAGATTTTAAATAATGTATACAATTCGAACCATCTTAATATATATATATAAATATATATATATAAATATATATATAAATATATATATATATATATATATATATATATATATATATATATATATATATATATATATATATATATATATATATATATATATATATATATATATATATATATATATATATATATATATATATATATATATATATATATATATATTGAGCACTCTATTTTGTATTCTACAAAATAGAGTGCTCGATGCTCTTAAAAGAACAGAGCAATAATAAATTAGTAGAAAATCACTTGATAAAAATTTTTTTAAATTTTTTTAAAGTGTTAAATAATAAATTAAGTTAAGTGATTTTCTACTAATTTATAAATATATATATGCATAAAGATACATTTAGATCCAATGTGTATATAATATAATCTACAACGATTTAAGAAATAAACAAGAAAGTAATAAGTTTTCTCCTAAAACAAAACAAAATTCCATGAACTTACTTGTTGACTTTTAAGGAACCCAATGAAACTTTACATTCTCCCATATAGTCATCATATAGAATTCTATCAAAGTCGTAAACTTTAAAGATAAGATCACTATCAACATTTTCAACATACAAACTAAAACTTTCTCTCCACTGTGGATCAAGGTTACGATAAACAATTTTAGTTTTGTAAATATTTTTTGAATTTAACTTCACTTTAACATAAGGATCACTTTTACCTAAAATTTAAAAATATTGTTTCATATTTGAAAAAATTAACTTATTTTTAAATTTATATACAGAATTTTATATACAGATTACAGATACAAAGAAATTTATATACAGATTTAAATTATTACAGAACAAATTTAACAATTTAATTTGAGTTATTTTTTGTTTAATTGAGTTGAAAATATATTTAGCTTTCAATAAAATTAGATAGAGTTTGGAACAATTTATGTTTTAGCGATGTGTACTGTTGTCCAATTGTTGCTCAATACTATAGACAAAATGTTTCAATGTTTTTAGCATGTTTCAAAAGTTTTTAAAACATGCTTCACTAAAATTTTATTTGATAAACACTTTGAAAATTTAAAAAATTAAAAATAAAAATTTGAATAAGGAAAAGCAATAAAACAATTTTCTGTTTGATCATAACTAAGCAAACTTTATAATAACTTAACTGTCGTAGCATTATATTGAATTTCAACAAATATTTATTTTACAACAAAAATGAAGCAAAAGGAAGATATGTAGAAGAACAATCTGTGGAAAAAATAACTATTTACTAAATATAACAAAAATATATAATAATCTCATAAAAACATGAACTACCTGTAGAATCTCTTGCAATTAAACCACTACCAGAAACAATTTCTCCTTCAACTAAAAATGACGAATAGGCAGCACTATTGAAAACAGAAGCCACCTATAAAAATTAAAAAAAATCTTATTGAAATACACCGTATGTATATGTTTTGGCTAGTATGTAGTATATATGCATGTATATATATAAATATATATATATATATATATATATATATATATATATATATATATATATATATATATAAATTACAAAATAGTAGAAAATCACTTAGCAAAATTTTTTCTCATTTAACACTGTGTTTCATCAATAAAGACTCATCAGAAATGCTCTGTTCTTTTAAGAATTGCTCTGTTCTTTTAAGAACATTGAGCACTCTTTTTGTAGAATACATTTTAAATTGTTTAAATATATATATATATATATATATATATAAACATATATATATATATATAAACATATATATATATATATATAAACATATATATATATATATACATATATATATATATATATATATATACATATATATATATATATATATATATATATATATATAT